ACTTCATATACTTTTAGCTTTTAAGGGCTCCTTGTAACTAGAGGTATGAACAGAGTTTATTTTTTGTAATGGTTTTGACCATAATGGTTAATGTTAATGAATGTTCTATGAATGTAGTTCATTACTTGTATCCAGTCTTTATATTTTTACTATTTAAAATTTTACCAGTTAGATTCTGTAAAGGTCATGGTTTTCTCACATGGAATTGTTCTGAGCCTGGAACATTCATCTCTGCAGTGCCCTGCAACCAGTGCCCTTTCAGTGGTCTGTCTGGGGACTCATGGTTATTGTCCCTACTCTATTTATAGACACATTCACTGAGTTAGAAATACTTCTATTATTCTTCTGCTGTTTTTTTATGTTGTCTCTTAACAGCTATTTTTGAATATCAAAAATAACTGAAACAGGATCAAGTCTTGTATTTTTTACATTTGAGGCAGGCTTTGTTGACTTCCTTATGCACATAATACCCCAGTGTTTTGTTTTAAAGGTTAGATTATAGTTAAATACTTTGCCAAACTGGAGCATAATAGTCAGTGCTCATGACTGTGAATAAGAATCTCTGATGACAGCAAAGTGAGCGGGCCTGGTAGGGATAGGGATGCTCTGTTACCTGAACAAACATTTGTCCACATTCCCTTTGAAGCAGGTTAGATGGAAAGACTACTGGGACATAAGCATTTTCTGTTATTGATCCTACTTTAGCTGAAAAGCTTTCTGTAAGTCACTTTGTAGATGGCCTGCCTAATGTTCCTGTAAAACAAATTCTGTGATACACCTGCTGAGAGATGGCAAGTACCTGAGGGCTTCCAGCTTTGACCCTTAAATTCTGCTGCTGTGTTTGCTACTGTCCAGTAGGAAGTAATCAAAAATGCACACACTGAAAGTGATGCAGAGAAGAGAATGCTAAATGTCCAAACAGAAATGTTGAGTTCACTGAATTCTCACGCTACAGAAAAGTTCAACAGGCGGGAGTGATAAATTTCTGCAGCTGTCTGTCAGGTTCAGATGGTAAGAAATAGGATTTAACACAGTTGCTTTCGCATGGATTGTATCTCCCTTATAGCTTTGTAAAGCGTGAATGTGAGTGACTTCATTTGTTCTAGTTTTCTTAAATAAGTTTTGCAGAACATGCTCTCATATTTTTCCAAAGAGTTACTGTGCTGTCAGCTTTTTCCTCAGTGGATGCTGGAGGACATATGTTTCTGTCTGCAGAGAGCCATAGATTCAGCCCAAGTACCTTCTGGGCACTCAGCTGCAGTGGCCAGGAAGTTTCAGCTGCTGTGCAGGTTCCATACAGTGAACTGGGAGCACTGTTTTGCTCTAGAGACTGCTGTAACCCAGCTTGGATTTGACTTCTTTTTGGAGATATGTCTGCTTATCCCTTCTCAGTAGAGATGATTCCACCTCTAATGTAGGTGTTTTGTTTGACTAGGGTCTGTCTGGAGCAAGCTGTTCTTACAGTAAACACACCTGTTTTCCTGCATTATCAGTCTCCTGGAAAGAATGCATTCTTCAAGGATTATGCTCATGTATTTATTCTTATTATGTATTCTTAGTATCTTTCTTTAATAAAGCATTCTTTTGATGAGCAAAGGTAAAGTATTAAAGGCAGTAAAAAAGTAGTTAGTGAGGAACTTTGGGGAATTAGTGATGTTTTAAACCCAAGCTGTTATTTAGTGTAAGCTGATCCCTTTATTAATGAAGAGGCAAAAGTATATGGTCCATAGCACTATAATTTCATGCAGGTGTTCTTTTGAAATTCACATGTCAATGTTTGAGTCCCATAAACCTTTACTGATTCCATTTTTATGTAATGGAGCTGTAAGATTACGATTATGAAATAGTAACAGCTATTAGCTTTAAAAGAAGGGGATTATGGTTTCAGAGTTTTCTGATTAATTAACATCTATATCACTTTTTATGTGGCCATGTGATATCTTTGAAAGAATCATAAATCCCCCCAATTTAATTTTTTGCTTATTTTTAATTAAAGAAGGAATTTACTGTGGACTGTATGTCTGCAGGAATGTCAATTATAAAAGGACATGTGTAGTATCAAAAGCACATTAATTTTTCCCATGAATGAAAATCCTTTTGTGTTCTGAAACATCTCATTTTCTTTAATGATACAGCAAATGGTCCTGTGGTCAGGTGCAGATGTTCCTCCTTTGCTGGGTTTACTGGTCTTAATGTTTTCATTAGAGATACCATACAAAGCAATCTCATTAACCTTTTGAGGAAGAATAAGTAGGAAAGAAAAAAAGAGAAGTGCCAGTTTCCCCCTGAAGGCAACACATAAAAACAAGGTGGCAGAAGAAATGAAAGAAACTGGAAAAACTCTATAAGTGACACATGCTAGTGTGCATTAGGAGTATGGAATAGTATGGAATAGTTCAGAAGAACCCTGTGTATTAATATGCTATTGAACTCATTTCTCACAATACTGAAGTCCTGTTTGCAGATAATTGAACTTACTGCTGCTGAAGAAGTCTTTGTGTTTATGGGGCCTTAGAACACATTTGAGTGTTACACCACCTATAACTGTAAGAACAGGCACAGATATGTGTTTCCAATAGATATAGAGGTCAGGAATCCACCAGTCATCAAAAAAACCTCTTCTAATCAAGATTTTTCTTTCTGATAGCACCACACAAGACATGTCAAAAAGCAACATCCTCAGCTGCTTTGAACTTACAGGGTTTCTCTGAGATTTCTTCTTCTGTTAACATTAACTGCAGTTTCTAGCATTATTAGCCAAAAAAAAAACAACCACTTTGGTGCCTCTTACCCTCTGAAGTGTTTGTATTGTTGCTCTGTATAAGATCCAGTCTTGCAAATCCATGCTCATTTTGCCAACATCTGCGTGCATATGGTTGGTAGCCCATTTTTCAATTTTGTGCTGAATTTCAAGCACAGATTCTCTTGTATTAATCCCACTGACACAGTGCTAACAGCTGATCTGCTATTTCTCTAAATGCATGTGTGAATGCAGTGCTGTATAAAGCCCAAACTGAATCAGTGCTTCTTCTGCTGGCAAGTGGGAGAAAAAAGTCTCATTGTCATGTTTTTAAGTACTCTGCTCTTTCTAATTATTTCTAGCAATAAGTCCTGAAGTTTGGTATTTTGTTTGTTAGATTGTATTTTTTTCAATTTAGTGTACCTGAAAGGGATTGTCAGATCCGTTTCTTGAATCAAGCATTGTTCTATCACCAGCCATATACAGGTATTGGAAAGTTCTGTATGCTCATAGAAGTCACTGAGAGAAAGAAATATGAGGATGCAAAACTTGTAGTATTGCATTTCAGCCTTTAGATAAATGTACCTGTCAGTGTAGTGAGAGTATTTGTCCCCCGTCACATTATGGATTTTCCATGGATAGAACCAGCAGTTGGTAACCTTTCTATTGCTAGATTCTGTTTGAAAGTGATGAATTGAGAGAAGATAGTCACAACAGACTGGATAAACAGTAGCTCCAGAAACTCTCTGAAAAATTAGGCTTAGGTTGCAATAAAAGTAAGCAATGCAATAAAAGTAAGCAATATGCCTGGAAATTGGAAGTCTTGGTTGGAATAGTACATTGTCTTAACCATGCTCTCATGTAGCCATAATATGTTCTCAGTGTGAATAAGAGATGCTCAGCCTTGAGTTCTTGTTACTTAGTATGTGCATTTTACAATGTGGAGAGTCCAGTATGTGATATAAATTCTCCCAGATTTTGCAAGTGCTGAACCTCTGATTTTATGTGAGCTGGAAATTCTTGTGTATCCTGGATATAAGCATTGTTGGTAGGTAAGCAGAATTGCTCAGTTCAGGAAGAAATTAACCCATAGTTCTGCCTGATGAGTTTTAAGTCTCATAAACCTTTGTAGGTGATTAGAAATCCTGTTTGCATTTTGAATTTTGCTGTAGAGCTTGTGGTAAATAGAGCATGTTTTGTCTGTGTGTGTGAACTCATCTGTGAGGAGGTGGAAGTGGGCTCAGCAGCTTCTCCACCTCCTGATTCCCTGGAGGCACTGTCAGCCAGACACTTTCCTTTGAAGGGTTGTTCTGAGGTGTCTCTCTTTGTTCTGGGAGGAAGATAGTAAATAAATGTTGATATGTAATTGTAGCAAATGTAAAAAGAAATAAATATTTTTGGCTGAGCAGGCTTGCAGAGTGCTTTTCTGAGTAGGGGTAAGTGGGTACCTCAAACCTCAAGCAATCAGGCCATATGTGTCTCAAAATCTTATACCAAACTCCGGGGTTTTGTACTTCAGGACTACTGACATATTGTTAAACCAAGCAGAGGAATTGAACTGCCAAGACTTTTATCCACATCCTCTGTCTGAACTGGCTGCTGTAATTGCCTGCCTTTGGCCATTGCTGTCTGCCTGTGGCCATCTCTGTACCCAGAGGTAAAACCCTCACCAGCCTTACACAGAAGAGTTATCCCAATGGAGAAGGAAAACAGACATTGTTCCAGATAGGGAAAATCCCACAGGATCAAGGGCAGCCATAATTATAGCTGTTCTGCTTGGTTGGGAAAATGCAGAGGAGCTACAGGGGAGGTCAGGCTTCAGTTAAACACAATACTCTTTTGTTTGCAACAAATGCAGTTTAGCAAACAAAACTTTAATCAGTGGGACCAGAAATGTGGTTCAAGATTTACCTTTCCTGTGTTCTGATATATAAAGTGATTCCAGCTTCCTTCAGATATGTGTCACGTTCTTCCAAAGTCCCACAAAATCATCCTAGTGGCAAATGTCTCATATGCCTTTTTCAGGGCTGATGATATAGTAGCAGAAATACAAGTTGCAGAATCGGGTAAGTTATAATTTTTGTCTGTTAAGTAATAGAATGACCCAACACACAACAAGGATATAACCAGCAGTTCTATTTTTAATGTCCTGTTAGAGTGTTTCTGAAGATAGGTCACTGAATGCTGGACCCTTTTGCTGTGTCTCCTTTGCCTAGGGTCAGTCATGAAGTGTTTAATGTGGTTTTTGTTTTCTTTTCAGCTGAAATAAAGATCTGTTTTAAATACTACCATGGTGTTAGTGGAGCCCTCAGAGCTACTACTCCATGTATCACTGTGAAAAACCCTGCTGTGATGGTGAGTTTAGCCTATTTGTTCATTGTATTTGTAGATGATTTACTGATAGGCTTTATAAAATGATAGTACTAATGACAGTATTAACTGTCAGACCAACCTATCAATGTCTCCTGTTTTTACTATTGACAGCAATTATTTAAAAAAAAATGTGCTGCCTTACAAAACTATAAAAACTGGAAAATGATTTTCATGGTTTTGAATTGCTCATAATAAAATAACAGTAAAAAGTCACTGAGCTTAACTGAAATCTTTTATGCTAAGAATTTGACTTTGCTTGCATTCAGTTTTTTGCTACTTACAGTTTTCTGTAATTTAACACCATAATAGAAATTTTTCTCACTGATTATGTAACTGAAACCATGTCCAGAGTCTCTGTTTCTTCCGACTTCTTAAATATTTCCTAATATTCAGTACGAAACTGTTGCAGAGATAGCAATTTTTAGTATGAATTAAACTGGACAAAACTCTGCTTTTGCAAAAATTACTGAATTCTTTGAGTGTGCATGTGCCATTGAAATTTAGTAATTCTCTGATTATCAAGAAGTATTGTCTTACTGCATTTGTGTTATGAGACTTGTTTAAGTTTTAGAGGAGTTTTTGTAGTTGTTTACGTAGCAGTGTTAAGCAGCGGCAGAAAAGGCTTCCAAACTTGTACCATGGTGCTTTTGCTGCAAGTAATTTATCTAACAGTTTAGTTCTTCAACTAAGCTTCAGCAAGTTTCACAGTGCATTTGATTTGTTGATGTTAGCTGCCAGATATTTAAGATCACAGCAGTCAGGGTGGTGTCCTGACAACTGCAGTGTTGAGGATGCAGTAAAGCAGAAATTACTCAGACTGCATAGCATTTATTCTGATCTTGTGCTTTTTCAGTGTTGTGCATTATATACAAGTGCATGCTATGGTTATCTGATACTAAATGTGCTATACTAGACTTTGTACCTCAATATACCAAATGTGTGGGGGTTTTCTCTTAGAATTACAAACCTAGGTGGTAGCATAATTTAATTTTCAGATCTTTGTCAGATCTCAATATGAGTAACAGTTTCACAGATGCATACAGACTCGATACTTTACAGGAGAAAATGTGTCATAGTTAATGAGTCTGCCAGCTACTGTCTTTAATCAATTTATAAACTAAAGACAGGTAGTCTGATTTTTTTCCTCTGAGCAAGAGGAAAAAGTGAATCTTAAAATAACCATTATAAAATGAAATAGCCCTTATATAGGCTGCATGCTGCACTATATCATTACTGAGAAGCAGAGTGATTAGACCACTTGAACTTTCTTGACCTTATTATCTTATCCACCAGTAGTTTTGAGATTAATTGAACAAAAGGACAGCTGAACTTCTGTCATCTAACTGTGCATTTAATGACTTGGAAGCTACCTGGAGAGCTGTCTTTGTGAGTCACAGTAATTCTTGAAGGCTTTTACCAGCTTTTGCTGTATTTAAATTTCTTTGCTTTGAAAGGTAATGCAGGGTCCTGGGTATTGTACAGAATTCACACACCTGCTAGAAGGGATAATTTTATATAATCATTTTTGTTTGTGTGAACAGTGCAGACTTCCAGAAGTAGTGAGCTGTTAGTTTTCTTGATGAGAATATTGTATGACAGTTCAGGTAATACTTCCTAAAAATGTCATACTGGGTTAGTTATGTGTAAGTAAACCTATTGTTAAACATTAAAACTTCACTGCATTTCCATGGTTTTGGTGTTGAGCTTAAGCACTGTGCAGTAGAGATCACTGGGTTCTCTTGGTACTGGTTCTTCTTTTCTTAGAGAAATGCTGTTTGAGGAAGTTGTAAGAGAGTAATGGTGTGCTGACTTCCCTTTTTTATGGTGCAATAAATTCCTTGCTTACTGGATTTTCTCATACTGGTGGTGTATCACACCAGCTATTTCAGTCCATCATATTTTTGGATAAGCAGCTAACATTCTATTGTGTTACTTTGGCTCAGGGGAAATGGAAGGCCTGATGGAGCATTCAGAAACACTGTGATTACACTAGATGACATGGCCTTTGTGCTGCAAAGCTCTGTGTGTGTGCTGGGATGAAATTTTTCACTTGGGGCAGAAGAATTGAAACTGCTGTTTAGATCATAATGGAACAGGAAGAGGTTGTATAGAAAAGTCATGGAAGTGCTGGGGAACACTGTCACCATTAATGTTATTATAGCTGAATTGTCGGCAAATTCTATTTTCTATAATGTGAAGTTAGCAATAAAAATTCTATTATTCAAATGGAGTCTGACTTGTAGCAGAGAAATAGGTATAGAATAGGAAAGGCCTTTTTCTGGATGAGTAAAATTTTTAACATGGAAAACAGTGTATGCTGAAATGAGCCCAAAGGAGGAAACTGGAACACACAGCGTTCCTGTGGCATTGCCTGGACAGCATTAGGATCACAGTGGGATGCACCCCTCACTGCTTCCATGGTATCTGTCTGTAGACAAGGGGACACTGATCCAGCTGGAATTAACCCATTGCTTTTGATGCCTTCATAATTTTGCTACCACCTGTCACTACTTACGCATCCGTAAGTAAAATCACTGGCATAATAATGTCATGCTGTGTGGAAAAGGGACAGTTCTGAGCTTTCTGGCGAGACTTGTCTTGCCCTGAGGGGTGGGAAGTGCCCATGAAGCCAGCAGTGAGGGAAGGGAATGGACTGGCTGGCGAGTGGCAGTGCTTGCTGGCACGCTGTGTCCCCTCATGAGACTGCTGAGGCCCACCGGGATGTCAGGCCCCAACATCATGGCTGTTTCTTCATCACTCTGTCTGGAGAAATCCACACGTTTGCTAATTCCAGTGAAATTCCAATGTGCTTGCTGATCATTGTGGGAAGTATTTGAAATGATATTATTAAGTAGCTTAAAGGAGTATAAAAATGAATGACTACATGTTTGATGAATACAAAGCAGCTTCCCTGTGGCTACTGCAGCTCCCGAGTCATTTATCCATCTGGTGACTTCAAACCGCTGCTCAGGGCTGCCTCACATTCTTCATCTACACTCACGGGTGTTGTGCCCATTTTTATTCAGCTGATTTGCATCTTTCAATAGATCAGACCCTGTTCTATCACTGGTATTAATCCTCAGCTCCGTGTTTGGCTCAAACTTTTTCTGTGTCACCTTTCCTGCCTGGGAGTGAGGGCAGTGCCTGCCCAGGGAACCATTTGTCTTCAAAGATCTCTCCATTGATGTCTCTGTGATAGATTATTCGGCTGGATGCACATCTCCTCTGTCTTGAAAGACAAATCCTTCTGCTAGTTGAAAGACAGACATTAATTCATGAGAAACTTTTATTCTGAAGTAGTGCTTTACCTAATGAGGGATTTCAGTAGAAACCAAACCTCAAAAATCTGTAAAGCATAAGCTTTTAGACCACATTTATATTTAGATGTCTGATGCGCTTTTCTGTTTAAAAGGAGCTTTTGTTAATAGAGCTGAAAGCTTTTTTAGTCTCTCTTTGATCTCTTTGCTTTTTTTTTTTTTTTTTGTTGCACACTAAATTATCTATTTGTGGAAAGTGACAAAAGTTACATATGCTGTCACTGGACAGCTCAGTGCTTTGATGCGTATTACAAATCTACACTGTTGTTTGTTATTTTACAGAAGGGAAAGCTGTAAAAGATACAGGTTTTCTCTGATTATTATTGTCTGCATGTGTGTTAGCCTATACATGTTCTGTTTGGAAGATTTGGGCTACTGGTATATTAGCACTGTGTGACATAAATAATAGATATTTTGCTGTAAACTAATGCTGTGGCTGAGGCTGTCTGTGGTAACAAGGCAGTATTTGGTCAGATCCTTCCCTAGCATAGTACCTTAAAATTGTGTTATCATCCTCAGGCATGTACAAAGCAGATGAAAACTTCTGTGGTGTATTTCTTTTTTTTTTCTCCTCTTTAGATGGGAGTAGAAGGCACGGATGAAGGTGCTTCTGGAGCTCAGCACTCCAGGAAGTTGGTCAGCTTTACCCTATCAGGTAAAAACCAATACTTTTCTGTGTTGTACAAATTATTGTTTAAAAAAAAGTAAGTTTCTGTTTCTAAACAACATCAAAGATGGAATACTTTTCTTCATTAGCCTCTGTAGGAGCACACTCTAGTGGCTTGAAAGATGTCATTTTTTTTAGAACTTCTGTTTGTTGAAATCCAGCCAGAATCATGGGTCTCCAGGAGTGAAAAAAATGGATTAGATATATCCCAGCATGAAAAATTTAGGGAAATATCCAGTTTGCACAAGGGACAGTTCCTCTCAGACTGAAGAGTGGAAATCATAACTTCTAACTAAAAAAAAAATGCAGTCAGGCTCCATCACTATGAAAAAAGCAATAGCTGAATGGTGGTTTAGAAAGGGAAAAAAATTTCACTTGTAACAGAGCTAAGCTGTCACTACAGTGAAATAGCTGTAGGGGTGCAGTCTACCAGCTTCCCTTGTTTTGATTAGCACTTTATTCCAGGGAAATCTTGTGTGAGACAGAAGCATATTCAGCTTGAGCAAAGGCAGATGAAATTCGCTTCTGCATCTTGAAGACCTGACAATAAAACATGCAGAGATTGTAGAGGTAGAGCAAAAAAAATCCACTGCTTTTTGAAGTAACCTTTCAGCATTTACCTGAGATAGAGCTGATAGGTTGTACAGACTCACAGAGTGGCCCGTACAAGTAATTGCTTTGTGAATTCTGGAAAGCCTCTTTTGTTTAATAGACAGTTGTGATTCTGCCTGAGGAGTCCCATGAAATAATTTTGAAAGGTGTGTTGACTGATAGGCTTGTGACACATGTCCTGTAGTCTTTTTGGGTTGTTCATTTACACATGACTATTTTATTGTGTTTCTGCTGTGTGGCTTAATTCTGAATACTGGGTAGGATTCTTTTTTTTTACCAAATCCACAGGCATGGCATTTAATTTTAGAGCAGTGAATGAATTCTGCTGCATGTCTAAACTGTATGTGCCTGTTGCATTGCTGCATGCAGCATACTGGCATACTTAATGGAAAAAGACAAGTCTTGTGCTTCAGCAAACCTACAGAGAAACAGAGAAATATTTTACAGTGAAGTTTAAAATCTAATATTATATTAAAAAGCACCTCTTTATTTTTCTTGTTGCTGAAGCTTGCACTGTCATTGAAGTCCTTAGTCATGACAATGTGCTTCTGAGGAAATTATTATTTATTGTTGTGAGTTGTGAGGGTGGCAGTACTGAGGTTTCCTTAGGAAGAAAGAAGCCTTTTCAAAAAAGTTGGCCTCCCTTTATGTGAGGTGGATTATCTGCTCTGTTGCGAGAACATTGCATAATATTCCAGAGCAGACTTGGTAAGTTACATTTCTCAAAGACTGAACTTTTGGAAAGTGTCTTTTCACTGCATTACCTCCCATACAGTTTTTTATCTCTTCTCCTCACCCAGAAACAAAACAAGGACTGTGTGATTCATTTTGGGCTGGTTCTGTTGGGGTTTCTTTTTTTCTTTGAGTGGAAATACCTTAGATACCTTACTGAGAAGAGTATTTGTAGGTGAGCTACAAGTTTATGTTTTTGTTTTACAAATAAGTGGAGGCTCAAATGTAAATGAGGATGTTGATACCTTTCTTCCTTATATTCTTTTGGGAAAACACTTGATTTCCTGCTGTACACTGGATCCAGTTAATGTGTGAGTACTTTTAAGTTGCTTTATTTAGTAATCTATGGTGAATTGATTTCCTGGGTAATATTTTAGGAATACACTACTTTGTGAACTAGCTTTAATTTACTCAGTTCCTTTTTCCTTCCTTCTTGTTTTGCTTTATAGATATTAGAGCAGCTGGACTTAAAAAAGGCATGTTCTTCAACCCTGATCCTTATCTAAAGATGTCCATTCAGCCGGGCAAGAAAAGTACATTTCCTACGTTTGCTCACCATGGCCAGGAAAGAAGGTCGACTATCATCAGTAACACAACTAATCCTGTTTGGCACAGAGAGGTAATGTATCCCTTTTGGGAGCTGTCTGCCAGGCTTGCATTTTCTCCTCATGCATTAGGCCTTAATCTCTGAAAGCTGTGAGCTTATTTTGTTGCTAGTTATTTAAAGTGACACAGAAATTTTAGTAGTTTTAGGAACCCTGTTGGTGGATATAAACAGTTATCGTCTGCATATTAAAGCTGGGTATTTAAGCTGCTGGCAGTTCACTCCCTTCTCTGCTAAAAAAAAAAGCTGAACTCACTTAGCCACCCTGTAGATTTCTTCAAACTGCAAAAATAAATTAATTAAAATTGGATTATATGTTATGAGAAGACTCTTTAAGAGAAGTTAAGCTACATGAACATTTATGCTCAGTGATTGCAACAACTGTTCATTTGGAAATGGTGTTTTTGTGTTGTGTAGCAGGTGACAAATTTCCAGTTTTGTCTGGCTAAGGGGATGCTCTTTGATGTAGCCCCTGCAAGCTACACCTTGCAGGAAGAAAAACCCAGGAAGGTGTCAGAGCAGCACTCAGCAAGGGGGGTAAACAGGAGTCTAGCAGAAGCCAGTTTGCCAAACGTGTTTGTATTGGTTAAACTGTGCACATCCCATGGAAGGAAATCAGTCCCACAACTGTCATTGAATGCAGGAGAGCCAAGTCTGTGCTTTTGAAGATAAATGTTTATGTGGCAAAGTGAAACTGATGACACACATCCAGAGGCCTTTCAGAACTAGCAAGCCTGTACTGTGGTGAATGTTAATGTATTCTTTGGGAAGATGAAAATTAAGTAGGCTTTGGGAAATGTTTCCACAAATCATAAAGCAAGCAAGCAGTAAAGCAGAACTGAGCAGGGCCAGCATTAGCACTACCCTGGGATGCTTGGTTGTGGGAAAGACTGTAGATGTGAATAGTCCTAAAATCTTTTAAAAAATACAAAGTTCGCATCTCTACACTGACTCTTCAGCTTTCAGTCTGTCTGTTTGTCCATCTATCCAGAAGCTAGAAAGAAAATTTACTCTTTTTATTCTCCCCATTTTTGTCCTCCTCCAGTTCTCCTTGGCTTTGAAGCTTATTAGAAAAGAGATAATGTTCACTGGTGCACACATTGTATTAGCTTGCTTTAGCTGCTGGATCTTCCCTTTAGCAATGCTCTGACAACAGCAGTTATGATCCCATGACGTATTCTGTCCTAGTGGTGCAGGATTGATCCTGTTTTACACCTAATACTTTCTGCAAAGTAATTTGCAATATTACAGCAAACTGAGTGTGACACATTTTTAAGTTCTGTTTATCAGAGGAACCCAGTTGTGACAGTTGCTCAGCATGAGGAAGGTATTTTATTCCTGACCCAGTTTAATTGGTTTTTTTGCAGAGTTTATCTGATGCCTACAGCTGAAGTGAAGAGCTGTTTCTCCTATTGTTCATTGTTCAATATATCTTTGGCTACCTAACCAATACATGTGTATTAGGCATTGTGCACTGGTCGTTTGCTGAGAGGTCATAAAGGTGGCAGATAGTAAAAGAATAACCAGATGACGTTGTTTTTTCTGAGTAGGTTATGCCATGCTTTGCTAGCTTATTTGGAATGTTGTAAAATCTAGATGAATTTTTGGTTCTTAAACTTGTTTTCCTAAGGGAATTTATCATCACACTATATGTATATGTGTGTGTCTGCCAACGTGCTTGCTTAACATTTGCTCTGTACCACTTTTGAATCTTTTAGCCATCTTTGGGCAGACTTGACAGAGAACTACAGGTCTAAGAGATGAAGTACTCACAAAATGCATGAAAATGAAAGCTGAAAAGAGTAACTGTGTTAATGTTCCCATGTAGGGAAAGGTGGAAAAATTATTTTACCAGACATTAAGAAATCTTCTGTAAAGTAGCACCATATTGTTTAAAGACCCCAAGTGCTGGAAAAGGTCCTCTTGGAGTTTGCTGGGAAGATTTGTCAATGTTGGGGCAAAACTCCACAGAAAATTCTCCTTCTCTAGTAGTGCTGCTCCTGAATGTACTGTATACACATTGCCCTTTTGACTTCCTGTCAGGCATACAAAACATGAATGCCAGGCATGGTTTTGGAGGAAAATTCTTCTGAGCACAGCCTGGAGTGAGACACTTACTTCCTTCCTCCTGCATGGACCTGACAGGGTACAGCCAGGATTTCTTCTCTTTTTGCTTTCCCCTATGCAAATAGAAGCAAGCAGTAGGATACATGGCGTTCTACTTTCTGACATAGACACTGAAAGTGCTTTTATTCAGTGGAGTTTCTTACTGAGCAATTCTTTTCAAGGAACTGTGAAAGGGAATGGGGAAGAGTAAAAAGCTAGTTACATATGCAACAATTCTTTAATAAATGATGTTGACATTATTTTGCCATGTGAAAACTGCTGTCATCAGTCATTACTTTTGAAGTTCACTGCACATTAATAGTAATTAAGTACATTCTTTCTGAATAAAGGTGTATTGATATGGTGTCAAATATGTTCTTTCCTTCCAGAAATATTCTTTTGTTGCACTTCTAACAGATGTCCTGGAAATTGAGGTTAAAGACAAATTTGCCAAGAGTCGTCCGATCATCAAGCGCTTCCTTGGGAAGTTAACCATACCCGTTCAGAGACTTTTGGAGAGACATGCAATTGGGTAAATGAATACATTCTTAATGCTAACTTGTGTTCAGCAGGAGGACTCAGCCTCTAGGATACTGAGAACAAAGAACAGCTTTTCTGGCTTACTGGTACAGACCACCAAATTTTTACTACATCTGTACTAAGAAATACATTGTAATTTTAATAGCTTTATGGATTGACTGGAAAATGGCAATGTTTCTAGCCCTGTCCTGAATACATGTACCCACATTTGTGTTGATGTGTGTCTTTTTCTTTCAGCTAATTTCTTTACATAAAAAATGCTGTTCACAAGAAATGTTACCCTCTGGCTAGCTAGTAAAGAAGCAAGGCATTTTCATAGTGTTACGTGGTTGTGTGCAAATTATTAGAACAAGCAGGTATAATTGACTGACTTCTTGTACAGCTGCAGTCTTTTTAATTGTCAGTTCACTAACCAGACATGTAGTATACCTTCAGTGAATTGGCCAGAACTGCAAGGCTTCTAGTGTGCTTCAGAGTGCTTCTAGTACTACACAATTAAAATTGCCTGTTGTTATGAGTAGCTCAGTGATGGGACTCAAAATTCACCTGTTGTGCATGCCATTTTTAAAGGCCCTGCCTCAAAGTTTGATAAGTTAGTGTCTTCATTGACTTTAAAAAGCCACAGGATTAGGCCCATGAGGAATCATGGTGAAATTAAATGCATATTTTCTGCTTTAAAGCTTAAGGGCATGGCAGTGTCATCACACTTATACAAACTGGCCTCCTTTTCCACAGATACTCCCCTGAAAGTAACAAGTTGTATAGGGGGAGAAAATCAAATTCAATTTGAGAACAGTTTTCAGCTTTACGTTTTCAAAGTGTTGTCTACACTGCTAAGTAAAGGAAGAATAAAGTAAGAGTAGCTTGAGATTTTGATAATACCTTCTGACACAGAATTTATTAAAAACATTTTTTTAAAAAGCCTGTCCATTTGTCTTGTAGTGGTATCCAAGAACAGTACAGGTATATACACAATACAACTTTTCTAAGAAGTGCCTCACATTGAGCTTCAACATACTGTGCTTGGTTGAACAAGCAGCTTTTTCTAATAAATTTGCACACTCCTGTACATTCAGAAATAACACCATGATCCAGGCTGGTTTTAAAACCTAGTGCAGGGTGTGCATTTCCTTGCTAAACAGCAAAATGTTTTTCTGCTCTGGGATTCCTAGTGCTGTGATTTGTGGAAATCACCAGTTTGCTGTGTTCATCAGTTCTCACCTCTGTTTTTTCAAACCATTAATCTGGAAGACATTTCTCTTTTCTTCTCTGAATTTCAGTTATGTATATTTGATATATCAAATATTTTTAGGAAAGGAGAGGCAGTATAAGAAATATGTATTAAGAATATGGGTATTTGGTTGGTTTACATTTGTTAGAACTGACATTAAATCTTTTGCCTCTTCTTCCGTAGTATACCTGTCCATTTTCAGTTTTTGTGTAAAGACAGACAATATTTGACCAAAGATTTTGCAAAGTAAGCTAGTGTTTAATGTAGATGTGAAGTAGAAATGTACTAAATACACAATTATGACTGCTAATGCTCTTGAATTTTTTTTTGTCAAGCAAGTATAACACCATCATTTTGGTGATGTCAATGATGATTCTTAAGGAATGAAAAGATGAAATCCAGAGCCAGCCACTTCTGGATAAATTCTACCCCAGTTTTAGCTGTAGTCAGAGCTCACAAGTTTGTGTAATGAAACGACCAGGGGCTTTTAATTTTCTGGAAACATGATAAGTGAGCATGAGAATCATCTAGAACTGATTCAGCTGAATACAGAGAAGGCATTATTCATGACATGGCTTCCTCTATTCTTGAATGGCTTGGAGTAATATAAAACTTATGTAAAAACTGGAAACCTCAGATGTCTAATGGATGACTTGCACTTGGAGTACAGAGTGAGGAATCTGTGACAGGTCCTGGAAAAGCTGCTGCAGAGATCTGGTATCCTGTGGGCTGTAGAGCAGCTTGGAGAAGGGAGGCTGCTTGTCCACTGAGGGCTTTTTTTTCCCCCTAAAAGTTTATGCAAACTGTTGCAGCTTATTTCAGTAATAGCTGCATTTGTTTTATTTTACAGTAGGAGTGCTCCAAGTAAAGGAGAGGTGTTATACCAGTATCAAGTTCTTCGTATAAATAACAATAATTTCCTGTGGAGGTCTTTAGGAGCTCCCTCTTCTTCTTGCAGCTGTCCCAGCTGTGCTGAGGGGATCTGGGGCTGTGATTTCGGGCTGTACCTTAATAAAAATGTACAGCCTGGGATCTGATCCAAAGTCTCAAGCTGACACAAGTGTCTAATCTAGTCTGAGCCCCACTGAATTCAGTAACTCTTAAGAACGTATTTAAAGATTAATTCAAGCATTAATAGCTTTTCTACTATGTAGAAGTGCTTCGTTGAATGTGAAAAATGTTTTACTATGTTTTGCACATAGTAAAAACCACAAGGGGGCAGAAGGGTTTTGTTAATTATAAAACACTGTGTTGGGGATAGGAGGAGGTTAGGAGAGAGGGATCTTTGTAGTTTGATTTCTTTAGAATTTACATGTAGGGTTGTATAGGAATTGGTGGGGCACAATCTGTATTTGGAATTGATCAAACATAGTTTTTTAGGCTGCTTTATCCGTTACCAAAAGGTATTTTACACCATTGTTGGTGTTTGTGCTTTTCCATGCAAACCGTAGTATGTAGCCGATTTTAAGACCATAATAGGAATTAAATACTGAAAACATGAAGCCAGCAAAAATTTTAAAAATCCCATATTTTTGATTTTGCAGAGACCAGGTTCTCAGCTATAATCTTGGCAGAAGGCTCCCAGCTGATCATGTTAGTGGGTATCTCCAATTCAAAGTGGAAATCACATCTTCTGTTCATGAAGGTGAGAATTTGTCAATTATTTGGATCTCCAGATAGTTGTATGGAGAGAGTTTCTTTGTATTTCCATGTCTAGGCTTTCCTGTTGTTGAGGACATAATATACTTTCTCATTTGTATTTAGTCCCCCTACTACAGGTTTTTTCTATTAGGATTCAAAATTTAGATATGGCAGGTGCTGCCTTGGAGATGGCAGTTCCAGAACCACCAACACTTAGCATATTGTTTTTGATTTTCTTGGATAGATTCTAAATGAATCTGCTTATGATTCTCATGCTATGCTTGGCAATGCTCTGTTTTTTGCAAGCAAAATGGTAATAATTTAAAGTCATACTGCGCACCTCTTAATTTTTCTATATCCTACAAAACAGTGTATAGACTTATACAGAGACAGTTCTGTAACTGCTGTTCCAACACTGTAGATGCCTCTGTTACTTTGACTGAAGTTTCTTCCCTTAGTTTTCTGATTGAAGCAAGTGTCTTCAAGAATGTGTATTTTTATATAATTTAAGTAGAATAAACTATGTGTTCTTGCTGCTCTGTGTTTCACCTTCAGTCTTTCTGTCTGCAGATGCTTCCCCAGAAACAGTTGGGACTTTGCTAGGAACCAACTCTGTAAATGGAGACTTGGGGAGCCCCTCTGATGATGAGGACATGCCAGCCGGACATCACGATACATCCACGGTGTGTTCCAATGGCCCAGTCTTTGAGGAATCTTCTGGAGACACAATCCTGAGACATTCTTTAAGGACTAGTAGGACTCTGGAGACAGACCAGGATGAGCTGACCTCTGGTGGTTCAAGATCATCCCCTCCCAGAGGTCGCCAGGACTCACTAAATGACTATCTCGATGCAATAGAACACAATAACCATCCCAGGCCAGGGACATCTGCCTGTGGTGACCGTCCACGAGGAGCCTCCCCAAAACTGAGGAGTAGCTTCCCTACTGACACAAGACTTAATGCTATGCTTCACATTGACTCGGATGAAGAGGAGCACGAGCTGCATCAAGACCTGGGTTTTCCATCTTCTTTGGAAGATGATGGTGGTTTAGTAATGCTAAATGGTGCTACCAGAAACGTTGAAAGAAATGAAGTGAGTTCCTCATCAGATCAGGTAATGCCGGGTCCTGCCGAGAGTGAAAGGGTTTCGGCCTCTGATGCTCCTTTGCCATCAGCTGATGACCAGCAAGATTCTCCCGCAGAGCTTCCACCTGCAGAGGAAGGCAGCGAAAGCCTGCAGGGCTCTCAGGCTGAAGGCGCAGCAGAGCAGGCTGGCAGCGAGTCCTCTGCCCCTCCGGAGGCAGAGCAGCCTCCCGGCAGTGCAGACTCGGCAGCTGCTGAAGCTGCAGGTGGGAGCAGAAGGGGCGTCAGCGAAACGGAGTCCATTGACCAAGGCTCGGAGCCTTCGCAGCTGTCGTCAGAGACGGAGCAGAGCGACCCGGCTCGCACCGAGAGCGTCAGCGAGGCCAGCACCCGGCCCGAGGGCGAGAGCGACGCCGAGGGCGCCGACAGCTCCTGCAACGAGAGCGCGACGGTGCGGCGCTCCTCCGTGGAGATGCGCTGCTCCTCCTGCGAGAGCGCCAGGTTTCCCGAGACTCCAGCCTTCTCTCCCCAGGAGGAGGAGGAGGAGGAGGGAGCCTGTGCCCCCGAGGCAGCTGCGGCGGAGCCGGGTGCCGAGGCGCAGGAGCCTGCGAGCGCCGCTGGTTCCCTGCCCGCGGTGCAGTTACCTCGGGAGGAGGCGCAGGAGGCTGAGGCGGGGGAACTGCAAGAGCAAGAGGAAGCAGAAGAAATCTGGCAAAGAAGAAGAAGCCTGCAGGCAGCAGCTGCCCAGAGCCAGTCTCAGGATGAAGAAGCTGAGGGAGCGCAGGCAGCTTGTGAGGGTGCCACAGCGCAGCTTGAAGGAGCTACTGGAGGTAACACCTGCGGGAGGCACTTTCTGGAGTGACCTTTCTGCACCTGAAAACAAAGATCGATAATTTCTCAATTTCGTTATCTTTCAGGATTTTTTTGTTGTTGCTTTGAATTTATTTCTTTCTTCAAGAGACTCTTGGGGTTTTTTGGTTTAATGAAAAATCCAAACCTGAAATATCCAAAATGTGTTTACTTTAAAATTGCATGTATTTTAGTTCTTGAGGGAGTAGTGAGGAGGATGAAGAGAAGGAAAGAATTCCACAGTATTACCCTATTCACTAATGAAAATGGTAATGAGGGACAAAACTCCCCAAAAGTATGAAATGCGAAATAGAATTTCTATTGTGCTCTTTTCTTTTAGATGTTTTATATTAGCATTAAAACACAAGGGTAATAAAAAGAAAGGGGAAAGGAAAAATAACCATATTTTGTCAACTTCAGGTTCTTTATTTTCCTTTTCCCAATTCCTTCTCTGTACAGATGGATCCTAGCACACTGCAGCCTTGGCAAGAGAGAAATGTCGTACCTAAGTTAACACTGTAAAACGCTTATTGATTTTTAAATTATTTTAACAGTTGAGAATTTTCTGTCTCGCTAAAATCACTGAAAGTAGAAATGTGTCCCTAATGAATTGTTTCCAAGCAACTTTAATAATGGAATCTGTTCAGTTTTGTCAGGGCCTGAAGTGTATCCAGTCAAGTGGGTTTCCAAATGCATCTTTTTCGTAACATACCAAGAACTATATAAAAGCAGTAATTTCCTTTATCATAAACAGGTTGTTGACTGGAAATAATAATTTTGGTGTTTATTTCAAATACTGTCAGTATTTTACAGCATTTTCTAGACATTTGGGATGCTCTTTATTAGGTGTCAGGTTGCATCAAGCTTTGCAGATCAGTTTGGCTGCAGCAAGGAGGGACAATGGACAGTTCCACCTCCCACTCTTAAGGTTTCTGAGGCCAGGTGGAGCTTTGTCCTGGGATATGGCTCAGGCACAGGTTGTTTCCATGCCCTGACTTTGGCTGCTCACGGAGGGATGCAGCACATCCCAGAGGTGATGTTTCCAGGACTAGGACATCCAGAGGATCACTTGCCTAGAACTGTTAGCATAACTTATTTTGACCCCAAGAAAAGATGACTGTTAGATATATCCTGAAATATCATAGTCCTGCAGAAGCTTTAACACAGCTTGCTCAGTATAGAGGCAACTCTAGGGCTTCCCCACACTGACTGAAAAAAGAAATATGTGTGTGTGTGTTTTGATTCCAGGTTCTCCTGCCAATGGCCATCAGCCCTTGAGGTCCCTGCCTTCGGTGCGTCAGGACGTTAGCCGGTACCAGAGAGTGGACGAGGCCCTGCCACCAAGTGAGCTTCTCCATACTTTAACTGGGGAATAAGCTGCCTGTGGCTCTTCACTGAGGGTTCATTACATTTCCGTTTTTGGATGTTAGAACTGAGAATGAGCAGCTGAGAAGTTGGAAGTGAGGAGTGATGATGGTTGGGTCGGTGCTGTTGCTGTGATAGTTACACCTGGTGCACACAGACTTGCTGAGTGTCACTCATGCAGAGACAGTGCTGCCTTTCCTGTGCGCAGGGGCAGGGAGATGAGGTGATGGTGCTTGTGAGGCACTGTGAGCTGTCAAGCACTCTGAAATCTCTGAAAGCTGCTTGTGTGGTAATGATTTACAAAGGAATATACATCTTCCATATCTGCAGATTAACTTACAGGTGTCTGTGCTTTCCTTGCATTTTTCAAGGCAGAGTGAAGATTTTATATTAAAATAAACCTGGACATTAAGCAACAGTTAGATGAGCCTTAATGAACAAATGAATTGTAATTTCTCTAATGCATATGAAAAATACATTGCTCTCAATTACTGAATTCATTAATGTGCTTAAACTTTGAGAAGTGAAAATCTATTCTGTATTAAGTATTCAAAGAAAAGACCCCCTCCCCCCCAAAGAAAAGCTACACAACTCATTAAAAATTGCTTTAAAACAAAAATGAAAAAAAAAAAAAATTCAGACCCACTGAAGTCTGTGGCAAAGCTCTGTTGCTTTAAAGGAGTCAGGAATTAAGATATTTACTGTAAAATGAACAGATCCCTATTTCCCAGTATGGTATGGGACTTTGCTCTGTAACTAGAGCAAGTAACTGGAAGGAGCTTGATAGCAGAACACGGATAGAACTGAGGTGCAAAGCCAGGATGATGATATGGTTGTGCTCCCTTGCTGGTTATGTTATAATCAGATTAATCCTGTGTGCAGATCTTCGAGTTAATTAACTGCTGCCCTGTTATACCAGTTCTACATTTTACCAAACTGTGCCTGGGAGACAAGTATTTCAGAAATGCACAGAAATAGCTGGTCCAGTTCTGTGGTTTCGGAAGAAAACTATACACTACAATAACTACTTGGAAAAACTGGTGAAATATTAGTGGGAAAAGCTTTGGCTGTGTAGTATTTTAACATTTTTGCCATTTGCTGTGTTTCTGAATAGTCATGCATGTCATGGTGCATGTACACATCACCCCTTTACAGTCATAGCCCAATACAATCTCTGTGTAAATAAATCATTTGCTAATATAAAGTCTACTAATCATTGCCTACATCCAGTTTTTTTAGTTCAAACCTCTGCTTGCAGATATGTGAGATTTAATATTTTAATACTGAAAAATTAGAGAAAATATTAAGAATATGATTTTGAGCTGTAAACTGTAGTTTCTTTTTAATTTGGATTATATTCAATTTGTTGTTTCACCAAAATTTGAAAGTAAGGAAGAAAAATCTGTGTATTTCTTTCAGTCTTGTGATAGGTCAAGTTAAAGAACAAGAGAAAGAATTTAAATATTTATCTTTTATTTCTGCCTATTATGTGCAACAATTATGTTGTTGTGCTCCAGTTCCTACATTCCTTGGAAAAAAATTAACAGAGCTTGACCATGAAACCTTGATGAATGACAGTTTTGCAATAGCTTCAGCGAGCTATTTGTAACACATTTGACTAAGTGATTTGATGGAATATAGCCTTATATAGGAACACAGCAGAAGACAGCCTTGTCAACCACAATACTGATGCACATGCTTTACTTTGGAAGCCATTGCCCAAGTGTTTAAAATTAAATGCAGGATAAAATTTTAAATGTATTTAAAATTAAATGCAGGATAAAATGTTTTTTCTCTGCAAGAGCATGTCACAGAAATGGTGACCGTGTCAGAAGTGGGCATAAAGATGACAAGAAAAATCCCAATTTATTATGCAGTGGTTTGGGGCTTGACAATTAAGCAGGATAATGAATTCACAAATGTGAACTGTTTGAAGGATTTTTGGATTTTTTTTGTTGTTTGGGTTTTTTTTTTCCCAATGAACAGTTCTGTTCTTCCTGGAATACTTGTTTACAAACTGGTTTAAAAACTTGAGTGTTTTTATTTTGTTATCAGATACTACTTTCACTTAGACTTGCAATATAGACAGTCTCATCTAGACACCTGCTGATCTCTCAAAGACTGTTTTTCAACTGATGTGCTAAATGGTTTGCATGTTTTCTGTAGCTGCAGGTGTCTAAGAATCAGGCATGTCTGTTTCTGTATAGTTGTATATTTTTTATATACACAGGTATATGTCTATGTTGTAGTAGCAATTATTATTATAGAGACAATAGATGGGTTTATAAAAGTGACAGAGCTCAAACAAATCAATGAATAAGCCCCAAGCCCTCCATAGCTGACAGGATTTTATTGCTCCTTAGACTGGGAGGCTCGAATTGACAGCCACGGACGCATTTTTTACGTGGACCACGTGAACAGGACAACAACATGGCAGCGACCCACAGCTCCCCCAGCCCCACAGATTCTGCAGAGGTCCAACTCCATACAGCAGATGGAGCAGCTGAACCGCCGGTAAGAGTCACCCTTGGTGCTTGTGAGCTTTGTGTGCTTGCACAACTGCATTCACCATTGCAAGACTGAGTGTGGAGACAAGGCCACGGCTGCTCCCACTGCTGACTTTAGGTGGTTATTTTTGTGTGGCTCTTGCTTTTAGTTTGCATGCTGGACTTTTGTGTTCCACCTGTGATCTTAAGCTATGTGACCAAAAATAATACATCTGATGATGGTTGTCAGAAATTCAAAAGGCTATTAATGCAGAAATCAGAGGTCAATATATATTAACCTATATGGCAGAAAATATGGGCAGGCTCCCTCGGAGCCAGAATTGGGTCATAGTTACCATATACTATATGTAAAGTCCAGTTTTCCAATCCTAGGTACCAGAGCATCCGAAGAACAATGACAAATGACAGGCCTGAAGAGCACACAAATGCCGTGGATGGAGCTGCAGAGGAAGCTGAATTTCACCATTCTAATTCAGGTTAAAAAAAATTAATTTTTTGCCTCTTCTCCAAAGAAGGGAGCACTTATCTCGTAGAGAGTACATAAGGCGAACCCTAACTTCTTCCTCTGAAGGTCTGTGTGTAAATGAAGCCATTTGTTTTCAATGCTGTCTAGTTTTGAAGGTTATGACTCAGCCTGCTCAATATTCTGAAGAGAAGATTGTGAAATTCAGAGCACTTTTCTGTCAGTACCAGACTGGTTTAGAGAGCAGGAGACTTGCAGTGAAAAAAATGTAAAATTTCATGGTCTGGCTTACAAATATTTTGACTTTGCTAATGAAGTTTGAAATAGTAGAATGTAGAACTAAAAGGGCTTCAGGCAGTCATTTGACTACATCTCTAGATAGATTGGATGAGCTGTTCCTAGGCCATGCTTGCCAAATGTTGTCTCATGAGTTCTTATATTCTCCGCTTGAGGGACATTCTTTAACTTTTATAGACAGTCTACTCATTATTTTTCTTATAACATACCCTTAAATCCATTGCTTCCTAGTCTTTCCTCGTGACTTCTGGGTTTAGGTCTCAAATTAGTTTTTTGGCCTACTCAGGATTGTTTTGAGTTGGTCTTCAGCTTTTAAGGAAAATTTCAGAAAATCAAATAAAGCTATGACTTTGCTGTACTGAAGAGGTTGTGGAAGTGTCTTACATAAAACACTCCTTGTACGTTACTGCAGAAGGTTTTGTTTTGTTTTGGTTTTTGTTTGTTTGTTTGTTTTCAATAGTTTGACACTAACCAGTGTCCTTGATCTGCTAAAATCAAGTCCTGATCCTTGTGTGCATAACCTTGGCACTTTCATCTGGTCTTTGTGACTTGATTATCCCTACCTGCACACAGATCTTTATACTTTTCTGATGTGCCCCTGTGGTTTTGAATCTTGTCCATTCTGCTGTCCAAGTACTGCAGAATCTCCTAATTGGTGCAAGTTTTGTCTTCCCTATCCAGTCATTAGTAGAAATAATGAGTAGGACCAGAGACAGAGAGATCTTAGTAAAACATCTTGGTGTACTCTTACAGCATTATCCCATTCCTTCTGAGAACTCCTTCAGACCTCTGAAAGAGCCACCAATGCCTCAGCGATTACTCCACCTTATTTCCTAACTGTGGGAGTGCATGTCACCTGACCTAAAGGCTGTGAAAACCTTTCATTTGCACCATGATCTTTAACCTGCTCTCTCTCACCTCCATTTTTTCATTCTTCTGATAATCTGTCCAGTGTTAACCTTTGGAATGAAGAAAGGAAGAGAGACCTTTTGTTTAGGGTTCTGAACATCATTACTTTTTTCTTTTCACTAAACAGTTCCCTCCTTGGTCATCTTCATACTGAAAATTTACTAACACGTTTATAAAGTTTTTTATCCATCCAGTTCCTTGCACAGCTGTGTGGTGTCATGTGCTTTGGCTTTGTCTCTGGATGCTCTTGATGTACTCTTTTAAAAGTCTCTCCTAAATGAAACTGATGTGCAAGCAGTGTCACCCTCTTTTGAGTTTCAAGTCATTGTAGAATTTGAGATTTACCCAAGTGCTCCCTTTTATTACTTGTAGTCTTCACTTCTGTTGTGGCTGTTTCCTTTTCTACCTTTGTGCATGTGCAGCCAGATGGTTTGTGCTGTACACAAGTCAGTGTTAAGCAAATTCAGCTGAATAAACTTCTCATAAACCAAACTCGTAAGCCTCAAATTGCAATAAAAACCCACCTGGTGACCCATTCTGGTTTCCAGATTGCCCAGACTATGACAGAGGACTTAGCTGCTACGTGTCACAGCATCTTCCAGAGAGTGAGAGCTGCCTGGTGTACACCCAAGTTTTGTACTAGTACAGAGTTCACATAAAACTTGAGTGAGTGTCTGCAAGACACTCCCAGCCCAAGTATTCAGGCACAGCTTCAGGAGCCTTTTTGCCGCTCTGCCTTTGCCCTGTTCATTACGTGTTCCATGTGGGACAGCTTGAGGTCTATTGTTTAAGTAGTGTTTGTAAAAGTCCTCTTGTTTATTTATTTTACCAGTTTCCCTAACACTTCCTAGTTTCCTCTAACATGTTTTATTTTCTCCATTCCCTTTACTTAGAATTTTACCTTTGTTATTTGCCTCTTCTTTTGTTATACCTTCTTACTTTTCTCTCAGTTTAGAGTCTCATTTACTACCTTTCTCCTTGCTCTGCTTGTGTGTTATGATCTTTTATATCTGCGATAGCTGTGGTCCACATGATAAATATTCATTTGATGGAGAAGTGTGCACATACTGCAACATGTAAAAAAGAAAGAAAATGAAATATAGATGGCAGCACACATTTTAGTGTAGCATCACTGAAGACCAAATCTGAACTTGCAGTTTTTCATTTACATTAAAAATACGCTTCCAAATGTCCTGAAAGAGAATTGGAGGCAACAGTGTTCACATTGTAGCGAACATCACTCAATATTTTTCACTTCCTTCCTGGTACTGAAGAAAAATCAGGGTGCTTCTGTAGTTGCTAGGAGAAGACACAAATGTTTATTGGAAGTTGAAACTTGAAAGGTACTTCCTTAGCAACCTACTTCTTACTTACATAAGCTGCTTCAATACTGTATCAAGACTGGGGCTGTGGTAATGGCAGATTTATTGTTTGTTTTTTAAGAAGGAATGAAATATTTATAAGTGTACAATGACTTTTATATCCATTAGTTAGCATTTAAAAAATGACTTACCTGCATACAGCTACAGTATAGCAGTGCAGACGTGCCCAGGGGACTTTATTGCATCTTATATAGAAGGACAAACTTGGTAACCCAAATAATGGAACGTGATTTTTTTTTTAATGGTTGTTTGCTGAAAGCCACAGGTAAATGTTACAAAACTAAGATTGTAATATTTTCAGAAACTTCAGTGTTATGTTAGAAGAAATTTGGGTACAGTTATGTGGACAATCCTCAGTAAATCTGCAATAGTTGTCTACTTAATGCTTTCCTTGCTTGTGTGATTCACATCAATGTAGTTCTTTGCAGGGATGCTTTGGTAATAACTGCTGGAAGTCTTTGACATTTACTTTGCTCCTAGATTTTCGAAGAGAGAATGTGCTGCCTCACTCTACCTCCAGATCCAGACTTACTTTATTGCTCCAGTCTCCCCCTGTGAAATTCCTTATCAGCCCAGAGTTCTTTACAGTGCTGCATTCTAACCCTGTGAGACAGCTCAAAGGCTTTCATAAGTACATGCTTATAAATGCAGTTGTTTTGTGTACAAAAACACTGCTCAGTGTTTGATGATAAGATATTGATAGTACATAGGGAGGCTAGATTCACTCATCATTATCCACTGAAATTATTGGGCTATCAGGGCCCACAGCTCTGCATGATAGCAATTTTTATTTTCCACTCGATTCTTCATCTTTCTTATGATGCAAAATTATTTGTTTATGGAAGCAATAGCTTTCTTACTGTGCTTTGCACAGGGTGAGACACAATTCGGGGAAAGACCTTGCTGCTTAATGGCAATATTTGTTTCCCCCAGATTGCCTGGTTTATATCAAAGTATATTAGAGGTCATACAAAACCCTATTAATATATATATTTTCCTTTTTTGCCTGTTCTTCAGTGCTTCTTTTTGCATAGATTTCCCCTCCCCCCAGTGTTTCTTTGTGTATTGGGATTTATAGTGTAAGAAGCAGCAATGGAAGGAGTAACTTTTCTTCTGCAGGCCCACTTACAATGCACAGGCTTGTCTTTTGTGGCCAGAGCAGTTATCTCTTTGAAAAGCCTTTGCTGTTGTGTGTTTCTCAGAGTGCCTACCGCATGTTTACAAACAACACGTGTCTGAAGCACATGATCACCAAAGTCCGGCGGGACACCCACCACTTTGAGCGCTACCAGCACAACCGGGATCTGGTGGGCTTCCTCAACATGTTTGCCAACAAACAGCTGGAGCTGCCCAGGGGCTGGGAGATGAAACACGACCATCAGGGCAAGGTAACTCCACAGGGCTAAGAAGGCCTTGTGTTCATCAGTTTCTGAGATCAAATGATGTATCTGAGGTAAAAAGGATGGTCTGGGACAGCTCCCAGGAGGATCACTCTGGTGGTTGGGTATTGCTTGGAAAGAGATGGTATGGAGTAGGTTTCCATAAGAGGTATTAGAGATCTTAAATACTTGAAAGTCTCGCTGATTTTTTTAAATAAGTATCAATTTTCAATTTCCTAAAAAAATATTCTGATGTCGCTTTTACAGTTGTGATGTAAGTTTTAATGTAACTTTAAGCTAGTGCATCCTCAGTATCTGGAACGTTATATTTTGTGTAGAAAACAGGAGGGTTAAAAATAGACTGTGATTAGTATGTGAGAAAGCGATAAGGCTTATCAGTTTATTAGGATTACTGGCATATTTAGCTTCTTGGTTCTTACATTTATCACTCTCAGTGTAGTTAGCTGTGAGAGTCCATATAAGTAATGATCTTGATGCTTGGAAAGATTAGACAATTCTAAACTGAAGGGTAAAAGTACTTGAGGGTTGTTTCTTAGATTTTTTTAACTCTGTAAAGCACTTTGGTTTTTTGTTAGACAGAATTAGGAATGTGTAGTTCTACTATCGTTGTTCTTTGCCTCACTGTTTTCTGTTTTAAGTCATTCTTGTTCTGTTAAGTTCTTCAGAGGCCAGTTTTCTCCTGAAGAATAGAGCAGTTTTCAATTTTCTTTAATAAGTGCTCCATAGAGAGAATTAGACCTTTGGATTTCTGAGTTGGTGTTTGGTAACAGCAATGCTACCACAATGTTAATCAAGAAGAGGAAGCACTGAATAATTTGGGATCTCTTCACTTTGAATTAGTCTTAGTGTTGCTCATTTTCACCATGTTGAATTGTCTGTGTCACAAGTGCCACTTGTGGGCAGTGGAAAAGCCTATTCAGCACTCGAGAGAGACCATGGCCAGTACATGGCAAGAGCAGTGCTTGGGGAGACCAAACTGAAACTGGACCTGCCTTTATTAAAGCATAAACTTAAAGAGAAGCGAGTAGAACTTAGCCATAACACAATATATAATTATGTTTCCTTTCCTTAACTACTCTTCCCTGCTGAGAAGAGGTTTTCCCTTATTTTTTCAAGTATGTCACAGTGAGAGCTTGGTGCTCTTTCTCATGAGGCACAGCGGTGGTTCTGGCCCTGGCACAATGCTGAGTAGTGGTGTTTTCATTCCCCCGTGGCAGTGTGGTGCTGCTTGCCTGTCCTCTTTGTGGGCTGTCTTCCAAGGTCAGCTGGGGACTGCCCACCTCTGAACTCTCTCCTGCACAGCAGAGCCCAGCTGCCCACTCCTTTTTGGCTCCTCTGTGTATCCCTTGCAGGAGATAATATCATAAAAGGTCTGGTGTGACTATGGTGTAGTTTCTAATGGGCATTATAGATGATCCTTCATCAGTCAGTGACCACAGGGAGGCAGAAAGCCATTGGGAAATGTGGTAGCAGGAAGCATTGTACAGGCTTAATAGGCCCCTGAGCTGAGCTTTGGGGCTGTGCCTTGCTGTGTCCGTGTGCATACACACACAGACAGCATACAGATAATGCATTTGTGCAGTGTGTGTAAGCATGTGTCTGTATTTTAAAGCCAGATGCAAGTCTTTGTGCTTTTTAATTAGGTCTCTGCAAGATGTGCAAATACATAGGAAGTTATTAGAGCACATTTTTGGTTTTTCTCCCTACAATTAAAGAAATCATAGTAATTGATTACTGAACTCTCCAATAGGAAGAAAAGGTATTTTAGCAATCTTCATAGATTTTAACTGGAAGAGTAACTGGGGCAACTGTTCATGTTTAATGGGCTAAATATAGTTTTGGCACTACCTATTTTATGTCAGTCTCTTCAAGCATTGTAGATTTATGGATTATAGCTAGGCAGGAGTTATGAGAGGAATTTTTTTGAAAGGAGATTGTGAGCCACACTGTATTTTGAGCTGTGTGCTAGTGTCCAGATTAGCCCAAAGCATTGAAGCTCCAATGATTATCTTCACCAAAGCTTCAAAGTGCTAATTTATGCTTTGTTTTAAAGTAGGCTACTATGAGCTGGCCTGCAACCATACATGTTTAATAAGATAGGATTGTCTTTATCTTCATGTCTAAACTGAGTTGTTACTTTAATAGAATGCTGTGGAACACTGCATGCAATACCAGAGTGCTGCATTAAATCAGAACTGAGTGGTACTGCTCTAGGGGGTACTACCTCCTTTATTGAATCAGGAATTTTTAATAAGTGATTTACAGTATGGTGTTGACTTCATGAAATCAACCTGTGTTTTGTTGAAAGTGCTTTACATCTTATAAACGTACACAGACTAGATAAAACAGGTAGAAGGACTTAAAAAAAACCCCAAACTTGCTAGTTTGTAATCTCTAATCTGTTTGCTTGCACGGCGGGGTGGCGTCATTGTTTTTCAAGGTAAACAAGTCCTGCATCAGGCTCAGCTGTAGCAATTAAAATTTCATTTATTGAAAAAAACTTTACAGTGTTTTAGCTGTGAAACAGTTTCACTTGCGTATCTGTGACTATGTCAGATGGTCAGAACAGAGTTCTTACTGCTCAGGTGATGGGATTCCTTCCTTGTAGGCACAAGCTACAGGTACAGGTGGTTGCTGTTGGGGCTATAGGAGGCTTGGTGCTCTTTTCTGGAGCAGTTTTAGGGTTCTGCAACTGTGGTGTCTCCCCATATGCTTCTCCTTCCTTGGGAAATGGAAGCATGAACATTGTCTCCCACTGCAGTCCATAATGGCTTTTACTTGTGGTATAGTGTGACACATGGTTTGTCTACCTACCTTCACAGCAGTCAGAAGAATTGCATTTGCTCTGGTCTGGTTTTCCCAATCTGAAACAATGATTCCATGAATACTAGAAGCTGCTGTTGCTGCCAGAAAAGTGGTTGTGCTCTCCTCTCCTCTCATCCCTGGTGAGCTGACTGAGGTTAGAGGAGCCAGCAGGGAGAGGGACAAAAAGAGAGTAATTTTAGCCTGGACCAGCTCCCCTGATGGGTTCACTGCATGGCTACACAAACACTTGTGCCAGCACAAGGCAGGAAGGGCACACAGGGGATGAAACAAGTGGTCAGGAGGGGGAAAGATGAGAATGTTTCTTTTGCTGACACCACAGGAATAAATTGTTTGTGGAATTGTGGTCAAAGTACCTCACTGGTAGCCAAACACAGAAATGGCTACCACAGTCCCTGACCACCACTCTGCTGATCCAGATTTTTTGATTCCTTGAACCAGATGTCACTTTCCTGTAATTCTCCTGCTCAAAACTGAGATTTTTTTTGCCACTTCCACATGTTCCCAGTATTGTGACAGAAAATGTGGAGTGTGTTGAAATAGAACAGTGCTGGTTTCCAAGTGCAACACTGGTGCTACAAAAAGTTTAAATTTCAGAAACCTTTTTGGTTCAAATTGGTTAGAATTTTAGGAGGCTTTAATTTTCCAGGATACATGTCCCTGTGACCTTGTTTTTAGCAAATGGTGACTGGCCAATATGTGGCTGTTCTCATCAATTGCCTGATTAAAATTTTTTTGTTGCCATCATCTTTGTGTTGTTGGTTGACCTTTCTTTTTGGCTTTCAGAGGTCTTTTTTTTTTTGTTTTGTTTTGTTTGGGATGGTGCTTTAGGGGTTTTTTTTGCATTTTGTTTTGGGTTTTAGAAAAAAAGGTCAGAGAACTTAGAATAGTTGTAGCAGAAATATGGCAAAAATGCCTGTTGGTCTGTAATCATAGTTCATCACTGGATACAGGGATACACTTGACATACATACAGCCAATTGTATTCATAATTATATGGTAAATACTTCACAAAAGGTAATGGGTTTGCCACTTAATGACACCTTTTTAGATGCTTATAAGGGAATGAAAAGGAGAATACACCAGGATTACTTTTATTAAATATTCAAGTCTTCTCTTCTTGACAGTCATAATAAAGCTTCCCACTTCTGATGCTTGTCAGGTGAGAATTTCAAAGGATTTTATAGACACGAACAAAGTAAGGCATTAAACAGTTCATTCCTTTGGCTGGGATGGAAAAGTATTGTCCTCCTTCTGCAGAAAGGAAATGGAAGCCACAGTAACAGATTTTGCACAGCCCCACCTGGTCAAATGAAACCTGTATTCCCAATAAGCATTAACCTCAGACATAATGAATAAAAAAAGTGTCGATGAATTCTGTCTTGTGTGTCCTTCTGCAGGCTTTCTTTGTGGACCACAACTCGCGCACCACGACGTTCATCGACCCGCGGCTGCCCTTGCAGAGCAGCAGGCCCACCAGCGCGCTGGTCCATCGGCAGCACTTGACTCGGCAGCGCAGCCACAGTGCTGGGGAGGTGAGTGGGGTCTGGCCTCCTCCTCGGGAGCTCCACCATCCCTTTTCACATCATTCCGTGTGGGGAGGAGCATGATCCTTCTGTAAGTGCACCAGTCATCTGTAAGGATTTACTATTTTTTCTGCTAGCCATTGTTGTTTTTGACATGTATGAATTCAGAGGAAAAATACCAAGCATGAATGTTTCTTATTTTGCATTCGCAGTAACCCCACTTAACCACAGGAGAGCATCTGATTACAGATTACTGGTTGCTGTATCCAGTCTTTCACTGACAAAATGTGTATTGTCTATCATGGTGTCTGGTTGAGTGTGTTTGTACATAACTGTGCAAAATAAGAGGGGAGAAAAAATGCATGTATGACAATATGTCTAGTTCTGAAACTTCCCCATTAAGTTAAAAAAATCATAACACATTCAGCTTTATCAGACTGTTATGTGCCTTTGAATTTATGTCTAATCTCTACTTTCTGATCAGAAGCACATAGAAGACACTATTTTGTTATGTTGTCATGCACCATTTTCACTGGCAGTCCCCATAGTGTTGTTGTCACTAATTTATGCTTGTAACCTTGTGTATGTACAGTGGCTTGGACTTCAGTTATACTTTATTTAAAAACCTCCATACTGTTGGCTGTAGGTTGTAATTTCAGGAGAGGACTATTCCATGCCAGCAATTAAACATAATGCAATTCAGAATAGCAAGAGGAATGATCTGATTTATCCTTTTCTTAGCTCAGTCTTGTGGCAGATGAAGGTCTGCCAGGCCTTTTTTTCAGAGCAAACATGAATCTTGTCTGCCACTTCTCTAATAGGGCTTCCACTGAGCTGCAGCGAGTGCCACAGTACTGGCTGCATATCTTGTCACATCCTGTGTGAACATGGTTTAGTCAGCTCCCCTCCAGTGTCAGGAATATTTTGCAAATGGTTTTAAATATAATTTTCCACCAGTTTGGTGATGTTGTGTATATGGCAAGAAGCTATATATCTTCATATAGCTATTTAGGTCTCGAATAAGGTAAAGCAAGTATTTCTGTTTGATTGATTTGTATCAGAGCAGAATTTTTTTTTCTTGACTTTAACCAATATGCACCCAAATTATCTTTCTTTAAGCAGCATCCAGTAGTTCTGCACTTAAAACAGGTATTTGTGCCTGCCATGCTCCTGAAGTTGTCAATGCTGCAAAACAAGTATAGTTTATCCAACAAGAAGTGATCATATATATTTCATATACATAGTACTGCTTACCTGTCAAAATTTCCCACTCCATCTAGATACATGAAATTCCTTAAACTGTGTTTCTATATGCAATTTTAGAAGTGTTTCCTTGATATTGTTACAATTGTTACTTGAATTAATTCCAGGTATAATTCCAGATAGGAATCTCAAGCACAGCAATTCAATACAGTATTACCATTCTAGCATTAATGATGCAATGATGTTCTTTTTACATACGTATGAACCTGCACTTTGGAGCTTATGTATTGCATATTACATATTTGCATTTTTTTTCCTATTTTCAAGCTATTACATAAAGGAACTGTACATTATTGCAAGAGATGAGTACTTAATGAAAAAAAAAATCAAAATACTTTCTTTGGTTTTAACTTGCCATGAGCTTTGATGTTTTGAAGCCACTGACCCAGTTTTTACAGACATGCTCTAAAACAAACATGAACCAGTGTAAGGAATGCCTTTTTAGCTAAAGCTGAACTACAGTGTGAAGCTGGAGCTAATAATAATGACATTCCTTTTCCAGCACATTGCCTAACGGGAAATAATTCTTCATTTTTCTGAAGGAATATTATGAGGGAGCAAAAAGGTCTTGGGAGATATCTTGGGACTTTTGCTGCTTTGTGATTTCAGAGATTGGAATCAGAAGCAATCTTTTATAATTATTTGATCTTTTGCAGTTAGATGTTTTATAGATCTTTGAAGCTTGGGAGTGCAGTTCAAATGCTAACCATTACATGCAGGCAGATAAATGGAGAAGTAAACAAAGAGGTCCAGCAGGATGAAAAAGAGGTTAACCAAATGTTTTATAGAGATAAAATACTGAATACCAAGAAATGTCTGAAACCTCATGATGCAGTAAACTGCAGCAGTTGCCCTAACATAACAAATGCCTCTAAGAACAATTTTATATTGTGGTTCTACCCTAAAAATTGTTCACATGCAATTTTTTTAAGTCCAGAAGGTGAATACAGGAAAAACAGAACAGTGTTTCTGAATTATTCTAGGAGCCGTGTTTTTACCAATTTTGGACTCATTTGCCTTGCCTGAATGTGAACTCACTTCTTTATTCTCCTTTGAGGCTTCAGCCACAAACTTTTTTCCACATCAAATTTAGGGAAACTGCATTCATGCACAGAGGTAATAGAGGTGCTAATGAAGGAGCAGAATTTGGTTTCCAGAATGTTTCATATAAATAAAGCTGTCCATTAATTACAAAAGACAAAATTAAATTACAAAGTCAAAAAAGATATCCCAGTTTTAATTTTATTTCTCTTTTCAGAATGGTACTGTTTAAAAATAGCAGTAAATCTTGCATCAGTTTTGATTCTTCCTATTAATGGGCCCAGTATGCTAAATGATGTTTTGCTAGTACCTGTCCTAGCAGCACAGCTGCTTCCTGCTGCAGTGGTTGCTGGGGATAGTGATCAGTCAAAGCCTTGATGTACATGCTTGGTTTTAAGCCGTATAAATTCTCACTTTGCTGTACCCGAGTGCTTGTGCTGGCACAGAGACACTCACTGTGGTTGCTTGCACGTTTTCAGGTTGGAGAGGATTCCCGCCATTCAGGACCCCCCGTTTTGCCAAGACCATCCAGCACATTTAACACAGTCAGCAGAGCTCAGTACCAGGATGTGGTTCCAGTGGGTATGTCAGCATCCAGCCTCTGCTGGGAGGAGTTCTCCATCACTGCGGGGTCATGGCAGTGTGCACTGCTGGGGTTTCCATTCACTTGGGATGGCTGGAAGTTGCCATTTGTTGTGATCCTTCTGTCCATCAGCATTTCCCCCCTGTTCAGTTGGTACTTTCAGAGCTGGAAGTGTGCAGAACCAAATAAGTGATGTATTTTACCTTCATAGCTCACATGCTCTGTGTGCTCACAGGATGAACTGAAGCCAGGGAGTCAGATTGGGTCCTAATTGGACTCCATGTATTCCTAGTGAATTTTAGCGCTTTTTTTTTTTTTTTTTTTCTCACAACGTGTGAGCATTTATGTTGGCAGGATTACAGAAAGTGTTAATCAGCTTGGAATTAGCCATTAGGTTAACTTCTTCTCTCAGTTACATACACACAGAGTTACTGACTTCTGTGCCACCACGTACAGAATGTATCTTGTTAAATCTAACAGCTGTCACATTGTGCTAAATCAAGATAAATTAATCCGATTAACTCTGACTGGCTCTTTGTACTGTGGCATGTTTACTTGAAAACCTCTGCCCATTTAAATCCTCCCCCTTGCCATGGACATGGTGTGCATGCCTTACAGGCTCAGCCATTACTGAGGATTTCATAAGGGTGTTTCCAGTGGCTGCTTAACATTTGAGAATAGATGCAGTGAAAACCAAGGTCTCTGCAATTTTGTACTAACAATAAATATTCTGGTGTGACCTTAGCTAAGAGTGTGAGTGCTAAAATATAAGAGGTTGCTAACAGAATTATAGCTGTTAGTGGTGGAAAGGATATATCACAGTGAGATTTGGTTCATAATCATAAGTGTGTTCCTTAAAAGACAATAGGATTGGTGGCCTTACATACAAAAGTATTAACCCAATACTTCTAAATTTAAAACTGTGAAGGTGAAGTATGTCATTATTGTTGAAGACTCAAAAGGAATGTCATCCTTTGTTTTGGGATCTCCTTGTTTCAGCATGATATTTTTGCTAATGTTTTCAGCTTACAATGACAAGATAGTTGCATTTTTGCGGCAGCCCAATATCTTTGAAATTCTACAAGAGCGCCAACCAGATCTTACCAGGAATCATTCACTCAGGTAAGAAAATTAATGAAGTTTGCTGTTCCCATTTCAGTAAAAAAAAGTTAATTACAATTACCTACTTTCATTAATTAGCAGTGGAACATAACACATTATAGACTTCTGGTGACTTCAAACATATTCATAAAGCTGTGGGAAATAGTTGTTTGCTGTATTTCTGTGTAACAGCCTACTATAACAGGGTTGAGAAGTACATAGGTAATGTTTAATTATCAAATAAAGGTACCTACAAGAAAATGTTTGGAACAACTGGCATAAGAGATTTGCTGATGTCTTCCTAATGTGCCAAGACAGCTGGATGGCACAGCAAATGTGCCCATTCATTCAGCTGGGAGCAGGAGGCAGAATGGCATTTGGATTTGTCCTTATCTTTGCAAAGGACATTTACAGACAGGCTGTCCTGACCTCATGAGATCTGGAGGTAATCTTACATCAATCAGAATTTTTTGTCTCTGCAAAATTTACAAAATGGATATCTGCAGATTTTTGCACAGTGCAACAAGATATGAGGAAAGACGATCTTTGTTGTGTGGTTGTTGTAACTCCCTCATATGTTTAGACTTGGAAATGGAAACACCAGCAACTTGGATAGTAGTGACCAGAACTGAAATGAATATATCTGTTCTTCCTTGGGCACTACATTTAAAAAATTGGTTTGATTGTTGGCAGCCTCTCCTCTGCAGTGCTGTGTTCCAGAGGCCTACCCACACTGGCTGGCATGGCAGCCAGCACTGGTACTCATTTTTCTTCTGTTTGTGTTACTTACTCATCCCTTTTCCTCTGTGTCCTGCAAGTTCCCAAAATTCAACAAGCTGCCCTGTTTTGCAGTTTCCCTGTGTGTAGTATAACAAGTTTTGTGATGTGACTTCTGTGTTAAAGACATGGTTAACCTTTTAAAGAAATCCTACCTGCCAAACCTGAAAGAACACACTGGCAGAATACAAGCTCTCTAGAAAATACAGCAGAAATCTTCAGTTCTCAGCATGTCAAAACACTTGTACCCCTATCACTGCAGGCAAGTTTTTCCCACCAGGCTTGGTTTGAAATCTACTGGGAAGTAGTATACAAACAATTTCTGGTTGCTTGTAGTGTTATTGCTTCATATTCTTTTTCCCAGGGTGCTTTATTTCCTTCACTGTGATAGCAATCTGTGTAATTTTCTTCATGTGTGTTGTAGGTTTTTTTAACAAATTAGAGTTCAAATTGCTCACAAGGCTTGTTGGTATTCCCCGATTCTGCTTCTTAGTAGAACCTTGCTTCCTGATTACAGATGCAAAATTTCCCACAAACTTGACTTTCTCAAGAAAAGATGGGTTTCAGGTTAAAAATGAAAGATCCGAGGATTTTCTGTACTTCCTAATTTGCTTGAGATTATATGTCCTTCTGTACATTTACTTCAGGAGACTGAAGATACATGCCTTAACTGACTGTCTTCAGCAGAATGATTGGGGATTTTAATGAACATAATTTTATTTTACATTGAATGGAATCGGTCAGAAAAGCCATTCTCTTAAGCTGAATGGTTCCATTCTAATTTTAGTATTTGAAGTTAGTAATTTGATTAAGGTAAATTGTCTTCCATTATACTTCTCTTATATCCTTCTAAAGCTGATGCTTCAGTAGCATTTTAATTTGTATAATTAAAAATTAAAATGTTACTGATTAAAATCCCAGTTTTGTTTTTCCTGGTTAGTCTTTTAAGACCCTGATTTAGCAAATTATTGGAATCCATGTCTATTTGACACATTGTGAAACTAAGCAACTCCATGGACATTGCTGTAACACTTGATAAATTAAGACCTAACTAAAATCCTTCAGTATAAATGTTTTGTGTATTTTTTATAGTGATTAGTACAACTGCCAGAAATCTCTTCCTTTGAGGACCTTGGTGCAGTTGAAGTGAAATTATGATGATATTAAATAGTATTATTTTTAATATTATTGTAATTATTACATAGGTGAGGAGGAAAATCAGTATTTGGCCAGTGGAAGAGGACAAAGATAATTTGAGAAGATCTCTGACATTTTCTGTCTAAAATAATTTCATATTACCTTAGAGAAAGAAGAGATAGGAAGTTGAGAGTATTAAAATATAAAGTGAAAGTATGCTACATGTAGAAAATTGCTGTTCACAAGTCTCATGGTGGAGTGAGAACATTATACTTATCATATCTTTGTTAGGCATGTTGCCAAGATTAAATCTTCCAAGCCACTGCTGGTGAATCTGAGAGGCTTCTAGATAATATAAAGGGCTTCAGGCAAAGGCACCTGTTATACATTAAATATAATTTATATCTTAATGGAAAGTAAAAGGCATATGTATTAAAAAAAAAAAATCACTGAAATCACAGCTGTCACTGGTAACCCCAGTGATGGGCTGCATTCATTTGGAAGGCTGCATATGTTAGTTAACCCAGAAAATGTCCTTCTGGTTTCTGGTGTTGCTGCCAACCAAACACTAAGATATATTTATAATCGACCATTTATTTCCTCCAGCCTTGCCATTTGGGCACTGATGTAGAGTGAAGTGGGCTCTGCAAGTGTCCGGATGTCTCTGGCCTGCCAATTGCATGGAGTGTTTTTGACCTTCTTGTCACTGTTGGTAATAGGACATGGGGTAGACAGACCTGTGAGCTGAGCTAATGCTGCTGTTCTCACCCAGAGGTCTTTTCTATTAGTTTGGGGGCTTTCTCCTTTTGATTTGGGACTAGATTTAGGTTTTACTACATGGGTTTGATTCTTGGTTCTTTTTTCTCTAGAAGTGTAAAGCCAAATTAGAATTTATCTCTACTGTACTATCATGCTGATAAAGAAAAAATATGAAGGATGTACTTGTATTTCAGAATGCAGGGAAGGGCTCTGCAGAGAAAAATAATAAGAATCTGAGAAATTATATTCAGTACAGATCCTAAAATTATATGTGTTACCATGCTCAGAACTTAGGATGCATGGATTGCACAACAGTGACCAAACTGGGTCTAGGAGAAAGGACGTGTGTGCTTAGATGAAATAGAGGGGATAAATAATACAGTTTTTACTGGAAGATATCTTAAATGCAGTGTGGTATGAAAACACTGGCTTTAAAATCATGAGTATGCATTGTAATGTATGGCTTGCATTTGTCCAGAGATTCAGAAGAGACAGTGAACTCTTTAAAGAGTTCACTTTTGCAGAAGGAATGTCCTCTTACAGGTTTCAGCCTCCTCCTTTGAATTCAGAGTCATGGACTTGAGTGTGATTTTGAGGGATTGAATTTTTTTTTTTTTTTTTTTTTACTTTTTGGGTGACTACCTGCCGAGAGCATGAGCATTTAAGAGATGAGGGCAACGTGAGCATCCTTCCTCAGAACAAGTTAGCTTTTTGGTTGTGGTGTTTTACTGCTCACATGGACTTGGTCTGGCAGGGAAAAAAAGTAGGGAAAACCATAACCCAGAGATTTCTGATATACTCTGTACTTGTTGCTGTGGTACACATTGATGCCTTATGTGCAAAAGGTAGTTTGAAAGCCTTTTTTTGCTTGCACAGGGAGAAGATCCAGTTCATCCGGACAGAGGGAACACCTGGGCTGATGCGTTTATCCAGTGATGCAGACCTTGTCATGTTACTCAGGTAGGCACTGCTGCTGCCCATGCACCTGATGCTTAGAAAGGTGGTTCAACTCAGACCTTTATTCAGCAATGAGCCTTGTGCTACCTTTAGACTGCATCTGTTTAGTTCTGTGCTTTGGGAGGTGTCTGTTTGTAAAGGCACATACTTGAGAGGTGTTTTTATTACTTAATGTCTCTCTTGCCTCTTCACTGTGCTGTCAAGCATTGTCCCCTTTAGTAAAGACACTATTACAGACTTCAGGAAATGGGAAGCTGATTCTTTACTAGTTTTCATTTAAGCTATTAACTCAAAAAATCAGCCAGATTTTTTGCTAAAATTAAACCCTTTTATCTTGATACTGTGCTCTCATCCACTGTAAAAGTGCATCAAGAAATTCACGGGTACCTTTAAAATGGAATCTAGTGAAACAGAATTGACATTAGTAGTTGTATTTTGAGGCCAGGTTGCATAACGATAATCCTTTCTGGTCCCCAAATCTCCAAATTATTACTATTTTAAAAAATCTCATTTTAAATCGATGTTTGGGCCTTTCTGAAATGTAAATACTGTTTCTTTAAGAACTTAGTTTAAAAAAGTTAAGTGTAACTTGGAGGAAAACATCACACAGCCATGACTGTTAAGAAGAACTGGCAGAAAGGACCCATTTAAAAAAAAAATCCACATAAAAAAAGTCTAGATACTTGTTTGGTGAAGAGACTTAGTAAAAAACGTCTTTTATTTGAACATTGTTTTCACTGCATTGGATAGTATAAGACTGGCTTGCAGTTCTTTCTATAGCTCAATTTTTGAAAGTAATTTTTACATACTGTCGCAGCAGTTTGTGTCATGTTTCACATTCAAAATACCTTTTGATACCAGATCCATTCTGACATTAGATATTCTGTCCCTTTTTGGATTTGCTTGTGTCAAATTAGGGAAAAGACTGAAATTTTAATATATATATATGCATACATACACACACAGAGATGCAGTGATTAGGCTGGAAAATAAGTTTGAGTTTTTTCACTTAAAAAGTTGTGTATCAATAATAGATGAAGCTTGAAGTAACTGAGCTTGAACACGCTAGATGTGATACCTGGTTCAGCAGGAGTGTTATTAAACATAAAATGTTATGCTAAGAAGCTTACCAGTCAATACTTAATAACTTCAGATGTGATTCTTAATCCTGGAGGCTTAGAATGTTTCTGGATAAGGTTATTGACCCTTTTGTAATGAGAACAATAAAAAAAAAAAAAGAGCAGGGTCAAGGATTGTAGCCATGATATTTTATGAAAAATCCTTTGCTAGGATTTTTCTCCTATTCTAGCTGAGAAGCCTCAGCAAAGAAATGTAAACAATTAACTATCTGATGGCTGTGGAATGTGGTTTGCACATTGTTTACCAACAGGTGCACCTTTGATTGGCTCATGTGAGTTATTTCTACTTAATAACCAGTCAAAGATGCAGCTGCTTCGGCCTCTGAGAGTCACAAGCTTTTGTTATCATTCCTCTCCTGTCCTTTCTAGCCTTCTGATGGATCTTTTTCTCTCTATTCTTTTTAGTATAGTTTTAGTATAGCATTTTAATATATATATATCTTAATCTAATAAATCAGCCTTCTAAAACATGGAGTCAAGATTCTCGTCTCTTCCCTCGCCTGGCACCCTCAAACACAACCATAGATGATTAACTGTATTTTTACCTTGAGAACAAATACCCAAATAGCAGTTACTGCTTTCCAGTACTTTCAAAATCTGCTTGAGGAAATGGCAATAAAATATTTTGTAGCACTCTAAGTGTGCATGGTGGAAACAGGTAAGTGACTACCAAAGAAAGCAGGTTAATAACTAGAGATTCATCCCTAGAAAGTGAAAGATGCCATTTATTCAAATAAACATGTTCTTTCTTCTTTGCTCCTTTTTGCCAGCTTGTTTGAGGAGGAAATCATGTCATATGTGCCGCCACATGCCTTACTTCATCCTAGTTATTGCCAGTCCCCGCGAGGCTCGCCGGTGTCTTCACCTCAGAACTCTCCAGGTAAGGTGCTCAGGCAAAGCTTCTGCAGGGGCTCCATGAAACCACTTCTCATCCTTGATAAAACAAGGATCTAGAACTACTTTTGGGCAAAGTCAACAGGTACAATTGCATTTGACTGTCAGACTTGAACCTCTTGCCTTGGGCTCACAAGATGCTTTGCTGGGTGTATTGCAAATTCAGGAGTTGTGATTTTGTTCTGACTTTTAAAAAAACATGCAGACTTGTTTCTCACTGATGTGAAACAGCTAAGTGACTGCTCATGCCAGCATCCTGATGCCTGGAGAATTAAAAGTATGGATCTAATAGCTGTACATTAAAATAGCAATGTAATGGGGCTGTGGGGCAATGAGGGACAATTTTATGCATAAAAGCCAGCTTGTTATACTTTAACACAAGTTCAGAACATAGCATACTGCAGCTGTCTGGATATTCATGTCAGAATGGAAAGAAACTGATATTTCAGATTCTAACTGAGCTGCAGATCAGAGCTAAATTATTGCAGGTATGGCAAGTTCCATTTGAAAGCCGTGTTGATAGATGTTGCTATGCTTAGTTTCCTCAAGATAATAGATAAACATATCGGAAGTGGCTTAAGGGGATTTCTACAAATTTGATAACGAAAATATAGATAAACAGAGAACATTTAGGGTGTAAGCAACTCTAGGTAGTTCCAGACAGCAAGAAGTTTTTATCAGAAAAAGAGCTGTGATTTTCATGGGTGTTTCCCAGTCCACAATGACAAAAAGCTTTGCCTTTCCATGGAATCGGATTAAATGCATTCAGAAACATGTGGTAGCTTTTCCTGCTGTTGGACAGAGGACCTCTGTAAGATCTCTCTGAAGAAACTATCTGAAGACTTTAATGATCTTATGGCATTCTGCGAAGCAGTGAAATACAATATTCACATTTATTAATACTTTCAGTATGTATATGGTTTAGATAGAACTGTTTCTCTTTATTGAAAATAAGAGAATGATCCGCATGTATGCATCTTACTTCCAACTGCAAACCTGGCGGTCTTTTATAAATAAAACCAGTTTTGGCTTCCAGAGCTCAGGTTTCTTAATCACTGGTATGTGCACCAAAGCATGCTGGGCATAGCTTCATTCCAACAAAGTAATTTCAAAATACACTCAGTCTTTAACATGTGATATTCTCATTTACTCACACTAGCCGCAGATAGTAGAGAATGTACAGTGATGGGTTTAATCACATTCTCCCTAAAATTGTAGTCTCTCTTCTGGCTCGTAGAAAAATATAGAGAGACCATTGAATCTCCCTGTCACTCTGCAAGCATGCACGTTTGTGTTGGTGTACAAATGACTTTTTTGATGAGAAATTGTAAATAGCCCATGTTTCTATGGAGGCTCTGTTTTTTCTCCACAGCTAAGCTGGCTGTGCTGCAGTGCACGAGTTGGGGCGTTAAGGATCCATTGTTCAGATCAGTCACAATCACTTGTACTTTCTGTTTTGGAAAAGATGAATAGTCATGAAGCTACTCTTTATATCTGCTTTAGAATATAACCTCTTTGAAAATCAAGTATGATTATCACATCACTGATGGTTTTTAGTTCTTCCATTAACATCTTTTGTTCCCAAGGCGGAAGTAATCACTATAATTGCCCAGGAATTTCTTGGCATATGCATCTGATTTGCAGTGAGGACTTGTCATGATGTGCTGACAGAATATTATGATGCTGATCTCTGAACCATGAAGTAATGTGTTATCAGATTCATGTTTTGTGGTACCCTTCAAAAAAACCCAGCTGCCTTGAGGGGTTGACATTAAAGTATATTTTTATTGCCTTTTTCTGGTGACTGCATTTTTGTTCATAGTTTGACCCACAGCAAAACAAACAAAAGAGGGGAAAGGCCAATAGTTAAAAGGCTTGTTTACTATTTCTGTAAGTTTTCAGGAGATTTCAGCTGAGTGTACCTTTAGAAGCTCTTGGTGCTCTCAGTAAAAGAGGAAAACAACTACAGATTAATCAATGACCGTGATCTGTTTTTCCAGAGGGATCCTTCATGTTCCTTTTGGATCCCTGCAGATTCCATGATATTTACTATTCCTCCCACACTTCACTTCAAGCCTGGAACAAGTGCCAAGTGTCTTTCTGGTCAGACAGGTCTTTTAAAGACCTGTTAAATGGCATTCAGTGCTGCTGGTGAGCTCACTGGCTCTCTCTGATCTCTGCAGAGATAGACTCTGCAGCTCCTTCCAGCCCCCACTTCCGCAGGATGTGCTGTCGCCTTTTCCGTCAGACCCATGGGCTTTGTGGCTGCCCTCCTTCCCCTGTCTCTGCCCACAGGCGGAACGGATGCACCTCCTCTCTTGTAGCACCTGAAACCTTACGTTCCCATGCCTTCCCCCACAGTAGCAATCAATGTTTCTGTATTGGCTTAGCTTCATGCAGGAAGCCAAAAGCAAACTTGCACGAGACACTGAGCTAAAAGACTGAACTGCAGAAAAGTGCTGCTAAAGTCTTCATGTGCTTTCAGTGCATTACAGGTGACCACTAGTTCCTGAGAAGGAGTTGGCAACTTGTATGTACTTTAGGGCATGAAAAATTTTAAACATCCTCTGAATTTTTTGTGTGGGATATCTACACAGCCATGGAGGGAAGGAGTTTAACTGGCTCCTTGGCACCCTGCCTCGCATTTGAATCGGTGGAAGTAATTTATCCAGGGAGGCAGTGGAAGTCTTAATGATGGCCATTTTCAGAATAGATGAGACTAAACACCTCATTTGTATATACTGTACATGCAGTTACAGGGTATGCCTTTTTTTTTTTTTTGGTGTACAGATCTCACCTCTCCTTGCCTTTAAGAAATTGACCCTCAAAAACAGTTTGTCAAAATTAAATTCACTTACATGGCTATCATGTATGTTTCTGCAGCCACAGATTAGAAGTTCCACAAGCTTAAATTTGGTAGTCTTTCCATTCTTCCTATATTTTTCTTCCTTGTTACTTCCCCGGGGAAAAAACTTCCACTAAGGAATTTCCAAATATTTTCCTTCTTCCTCTTGGTGTAGTCAGCATGGGCAATGCAGAGTCCAGCCTATTTTTGCTTAATTTCTGAGTTGTTGTTTTTCTGATAATATTAAAGCCAGAGCAGAAGATTTATCATATGAACTATTATAAAGGTTAGACATAAAGTGTACTTGAAAAACAAAAAGTCTTTCTAGTTGCTTGTGTTGTTTTTAAAATCCATCTTTTGCATTGACCTGGATTTGCTCTTTTAAAATTTACTTTTGAAAGATGATACTATTGGAAGCAAGCAACCAAAAAGTCTTAGATGAAGAGCAGATTTGAAGATATGCAGCTTTTACTCTTTATAAAGGTGACTAAACCAAACACATACCATGCATACCTTTTGCTATTAAGGAATCTTTCCAGCAGCAGATGGGACATCCATCAGTTCATGTCACACAGCTCATTCTGTGCCTGTTTCTCCCTGCAGGTACTCAGCGTGCCAATGCCCGAGCTCCAGCTCCCTACAAAAGAGACTTTGAAGCCAAGCTGAGGAACTTCTACAGGAAGTTGGAGACTAAAGGATATGGACAAGGCCCAGGGAAATTGAAGTAGGTTGAAGCATCTCATGAAACTGGATTTCTTTTCAGGCAGCTTGCCTTGCCTCGCGCATCTGCAAGCTTCTTCCCATTAGAAGGAATGCAGATGTTACGGTTACCCAGGCATTTCTGGGAATATAAAACCTGTAATAAAACACTTAATGCCAGCATGTGACTCATAACAGAGGATACAGCAAGTTCTGAGCACCTCTGTTCTTCCTCCAACTGTGTTTTTGTACAGACAATATTACCAATACGGTGCCAAAAAGAGCTTTGGGAAGAAGCCTGCAGAGCAGGAGGCATCTGAATTCTTCCATTATGATATAAACAGATATATTTTCTCATATCTTTTTCCACTAAAAAAAAAAAATTAGATAGACATATCTTTTGTACATCATTGCCTGTCCTGATACCACAGTCTGCTTTAGTAATGAGGATTCATACATTAAATGTTACTAAACTCTAAGGATTGCCTTAAAAAACTGCTAATATTTTTATTTTAGAACTCTGAATGGTACAGTACTTGGAGTGAGGTCTTCCCTCCTTCATTTATTAGCTAATCATGTGATTATGTGCTGTTATATATAAGAATTGTTCTCACAAGAGACTTCCAAAATTTTGTAAATTACCAAGTCTTGTGCCAGTGGTCAAACTCATAGCCATGAGGCACTAGAACATGATTTAATCATTTCCTCTATTATAAAAAAGGGATTTTCTATTTTTTTTTTAAATTTCTTTCAGCCAGTCACTTCTCTTATTTTTTGCAGAAATCTGTGCAAAGCTCGGGCTTCATTCATGTGAGCTTGTTACAAGTTTTGCAAAACTGAAATGGGATTAAAATGCTGCTGTTTAGACAAGTCTTAAGAGGCAAAGGTTGAGTAGTGTCTGCCTAAAATATAATGAAATCATGAACAGTTAAAGCCTTATCTTTGGAAGCTTTGTCCTGAGTGCTTGGGCAAATAACTGGTGTGGAGCTTTGGCTCCCTGTAATAATCTGTTCCATTTCTCACACCCTTTTTTCCCTGTCCTTTCTCCCCTGCCCTATTTGCCATCACACTGTAGATTTTTAAGCTGCAGTTTGACATGCAAATGGAAGTTTTCTCTGGGTTGCTTTCCCAGGCAACAGCGCTGACCTGTTCAAAGCAGGGCCCAGCACAGCTCCACTGCTGCCTGGGTCCTCTCTTTGCCCACGTGCCTGCTCTCCCCTTGCATGTCCTCGGCAGGATGGCTCAGTGCAGTCACTGAGCTCTGCAGGGCCAGAGGGGCTTTGCAGGAGCTGGGGTGGGTTCCTGCCTTCCTGCAGGCAGCAGCAGCTGCCATCTGATGGGCACACACAGAAGGCAGTATTTGGATATAGAGCAAGTGAAGTTTCAGGAAACTAATTAAACACATTTTTTTGGCAGAGGATAAAATGTTTAAGTAAGGAGGATTCTTTCACCTCTTATTTTAGATCTTTGACACTTCCTCATTTTCACAATTTTTCTTTCAGAAGGTACATTGCGTTTTCACATGTGATGTTTCAGTGGAGTTTTGTACAAATAATTGCCATTCCTTCTGAACTTCTTGTACCATCACACAAGGATAATGTAGGGATGTGTGTTTCTGGGTTTACCATACTGATTTTCCATGGTTTTATATTTTTCTGTGTTAAGAGATTGATTTTATGGAAAAGATGAGATTCTTGCTCACAGTTAAATTCACTTAGGGACCCAGCTTTACAAAAGGATTTCAGACTTAATGAAATTCCAGCTTTAGGACCTTTCTGCTTAAGACTTTAAGGAAGAACCAAGGTAGACAAAACAAAACTACTCTTCCTTGTACAAGGGACATTTTATTGAAACATAAGGGAGAGCTTTGGAGAACAGGAGCTTCCTGATCTGAATAAAATTATCCAGGACAAACAGGTATCTCTGAAATCACCTTGGTTACTATCCTGCTGTGTAAATAGATGTTTCCAAATGTGGTTCATGTTCACAAATTGCTGTGTCAAAATAATTTTGCCCTTCAGATTAATCATCAGGAGAGATCACTTGTTAGAAGATGCCTTTAACCAGATCATGGGCTACTCAAGAAAAGACCTGCAGAGAAATAAACTCTATGTCACATTCGTTGGGGAAGAAGGGTGAGTAAAACAGGGAAGTATTTGTGGCCTGAGAACACAGTGTCTTGCAGCTCCTCTCTCACCAAACTTGTTGTCTAGAGTGAAAAGAGGAAGGGCTGTGGTCAGGAAATGCCACATACACAAGCCTAGAACATGCAGCTGTTCAAGATGGCTTCTTAAGCATTTTTCAATGTAACATATCTTGCCTTTGCAGAAGTAATGTGAATGCTTGTGTGAATTTTCCCAATAGCTGGTGTGTGTTTCAGAATGTTGCTGGGAAAGCAAATTAAAACCCAAACAACTTTCTTGTGTTATTCATATTTCTTTTCTCTCAGTGCTGTTGTGTCTCCAGGGCTTACCAAAAGACAGCTGCCATTTGTTGGAGGGAGCGTGCTTTCAGAGTAGGCTCTGGGTTTAGTCCTTAATTTAGCCCCTGTCTGAGGCACTGGGGGCAGAAAGCCCTCAATGCTACAGGAGGTGCTCGCTGCCTCTTCAGGCCAGGGCTTACATCACAAATAAAAGCAACTGGGCTGTTGCCAGTTGTTAAAAAACCCCAAATATTCCCCAGGCTTCAAAGTCACCTTCAGAGAATGCTCAGTTTGTGTCTAATGAAAGTCTAATATGTTACAGGTTGTGAGATGTGCTTTGCAAAGCAAGATGTGGTTAGATTTCCTTTGCAAGTGAAACTGAAACAATGTACTATTTGCTGCTTTTGTCTCTTGATTTGTGCCCCCTTTGGCAGGTCTTAAAGCCCACCTGTCTGTTGTTGAAATGGTTCATGAATATGTTTATAAACATTCAAACTTTTATTCCATGATATTCAGAAAACTGCAGCACAGCTCTTGAAATGCTGTAGTGTGGGCTATTGCCATGCAGTGTGTGAGTCTTTAAAATGCAAAGTTGTAATAGAAACATCTCCTACAAGATTAGATAAAATTAATATGTCTTTGAAAACCTCTAAATCCTGCTGTTTGTTTAAAGTTTACCCTGAAGCACTGAGTGTTAATAAAGATCCAGTGAAGTCTTAAAATAAAGAGTGTTTACAGCTGAGAGCCAAGTGTGGACTTGTTCATATAAATAATATCACTATGCTGTCTGAGGATAAGCTCAGAACTGGAATGGCAAGGCTGGTGCACAATGAGATTATGCTGTATTGACAAAGGAGGGTGGGGATGCAGGAGCAAGGCCTGCTTTACACAGCCCCTACCAGCCTTTTTTTTCACACCTACAGCCTCAAATCAGATTTAAAAATGAAAGGGAAATTTTTAAAATCATACATGAGATAGAGATTGATCCAGACACACCATTCCTTTCATCAGACGTCAGACTTTTGCATTTCACCACTCAGCAGCATGAAGAGTGACCTGGAAATGGGGGTGACACCTCCTGTCCCCATTAGATCCAGCTTTACATGAGACTCTAGCCTTAATGGAAAAGAATCAGTTAATTAGGAGCAAAGTCAAATTAAAATGATGTCAGTCCTTTATTTACACATCTGTATTTTTAATGAAGAAACGATGTGTGCAAACAGTATTGTTTCATCAGAGATGGTGCAAGGATATGTATCACATCCAACCACTCATTTGCCCAGGTGAAGAAAGACAGGTCAGGGTGGAGGAGAGGAGGAATACTGAAAGTTAATTGTTTCCTATTTGCTCCTCCTTTTTTAAGAGTGTAAGTAGGAGTTTGCTTTTGCATTTCTTTTCCTCTTGGTAAAGAGATATAAGTCATAAAGTAATGGGTAAGGAAATACATAATACAGCATTCTAGTAACTATTGATTTATTAGTATATAAAATACTAAGTGGGGCAACTCAGACATGGTTATTGCTATTCAAGTGACTTCTGTCATAAGTCTCATGTGTATCTTCCTCAGTTTCTATAGTCATCAATTGTGATGCTCATTTAATGGTTTTTATACACTCATTCATTTTGGTAATACATTACAAAAATTTATATAGAAAAACTATGGTTCCTTGTTTTTCTTGAGTTCTTTGAACTACTAGGAGAAGCTGCTTTGTATTTAAGAGTGGTAAATCTGAAGTATTAATGGTGCTTCCTAGGAGACATGAGTCATGTTGCCAACAACATACTAGTCTCCTGAATATCCAAATGCCCCACAGTTGCAGCTGTTGTGTGGTTGCATACCTCTCGTATGAAGTTTTCTCACCCTTGTGCCAAGCCTTTAATTGTAGGATAAATCTGACTGGCAGTGCAGGACTCTCATGATTGATTTATTTAACATGACTCACAGTAACTGCATACAGAGGGAGCTGTATGAAGTGGCTGATAGTCAAGCACACAGTTTCCTTTCTATCTCAGGATTTCTTAGTGTGTCTGATTATCCCAGAAGTTTGCAAGAGTCTTGCAGGTGACCTTATCCTTGATCCTGGTATTGATGCCAAGATTAAGATCCAACAGTTGTCCATGGTATCAAACAATTTTTGATTTTTTTTTTCTCTAATTTGTTGATGGAATCTACCCCTTCTTGCCAGGGTAAGGATCTGTTTCAGTACTTCACTGCTGAAGCTTAACAGAAGTGAAATGCTTCCCTGTGACTGAAGGGAAAATGTTTTTTAATCAGCTGAGGAAAGAGGGTTTGTCCTCAGCTTGATAATGGCACCTAGCCTTTACTTCCCTGACAACTTCATCCTCAAAAGCAACTTTCATTTGTGGTTGTCTTCTGTAAAAGTTTATGAGCCAAAACATTTGTAGCAGGAGTTCTTTGTGAAAGCTGACTTTCTCTGTGGTACTTCTGTCTGTGCATTGTCTTAGTACTGGAGTCAATTATTAAATCTTTCATCTATAAAAGATGTATCTTTCTTTTCGTTAGGATTATAATATTCTCTGCTCCCACTGGAAAATTCCTAGTTTTCTGTTTTCCAACTCTAATAGAGCATTAATATCATACCGAACTCATTTCACTGGTGACCTGCAGAGTAATGCCACAATTCGGTCTCAGTGCATTGTCAGCAATGAGTTTGTTTATCATTCAGGAAGAAGAGGTTATTTCGATTCATTAGTACTGGAATCTTGAAATAGGGGGAAAAAAAGTAGAAAACAACAAATAAAAAAACCCAACAAAGGAAGTGCACTCTCCAAAAGACATTTAAATGCACTCAAGTTTGGAAGACAGACAAGAAAATTTAGACCAAGAAACATAAATCACTGAAGTAATTTCAGATTATATTGCTAGGGAAAGCACAAATATTATCCCTCCAATTGTCCTATGGTTGCAGTCTGCAAAGACAAAATATGACCATTGTTTATTTTCAATGTTAATTTGTCAGATGCAGATAAGTCTGATTTTGGCTCTTTTCATGATTTTTCTCCTCCCTATCCTGGCCACCCCCAATTACTTGGTTATATTTCTGTGGCAGAAAGGCCACTACAGCTGGAGCCAAAGCTTCTTTCTGAGTGCAGCCCACATGGAGAACTTCATTCCAGTCCTCCAAGCCATTCCATTTTAGAATAGTCCCTTGAGAGTTCCACATATTTTTGCATTAGGCAATCTGCACGGATAAGGGTTTTGGTTAAAATCTTACGAAATTTTAATCAAAATATAGTGTAAGGAATATAGATTAAAAAAAAAAAGTTTCTTGCTTCATAGTAATGTCAGGTTTCTCTTTAAAGGTTGGACTACAGTGGACCATCAAGAGAGTTTTTTTTCCTGGTGTCCAGGGAGCTCTTCAATCCATATTATGGTTTGTTTGAATATTCAGCCAATGATACCTACACAGTACAAATAAGTCCCATGTCTGCTTTCGTAGACAATCACCATGAGTGGTAAGAATTCTTTTCTTTTGTTTTTCAGATACATTTTCTGTTATTCCCACTTATAGAATAACTGCTCAGATTTGCTCAGACATTTAACACAGAATCTGATCTTTTTAACCAGCAGCAAGATAATTGCATTTCTTTAGACTTCCCTGATTTTGGTTTCTCTTGTGGTTTTTAAATGATCTTATTTCTCACAAGGTCAGCAAAATTATAATTTGGAACATGTATCATGGGATTGTCTCACAACACAACTCCCTGCATTTCTTGTACATTAGTAGTCATTTCATGAAAGCAGTATTAACCTCTTGTGTATTAGGAAAAAAACAAGAAAAAATAACAACACATTGACTTTTTGTCAGCTAAGGAGATGAAGGGAGGTTTCAGGTACATATTACTGTATGTGATTTGTTTGAGTCTTCCTAAAGAATACAGAGATCTCCTCAGTGGAAAAACCCCTACATACCTATTGGAAGGAAATCTGTGGTGATATCTTAATTGGGGGTAGGGGAGAGCCTGCTGATCACACAGCTTTGAAACAGTCTGTACATTCACCCGTGCTTCTGAAATAGTTATTGAGGATTTTTGCATAATCCTATTTTTACAATTATAAGCCAGTTTAAATCACCCTCAGTTGATTTAAGCCATGGCATCACCATAAATCTGTAAAGCTGTGCTGTGACTATTAACAGAGAATTCTGCTTTGTAAGTAGTTGGATTACATTAATAGTGGAATGACAAGTGCTCATCTCTGTAGGACAGATATGCACTGAGTTCTTGTTTTTTTGAAGGCCAGTTATAAAGAATGAGTATCAGAGGGGAATCTCATTATTAATTTTACAAATGAAAAGAAAATTAACTGGTTGGCAGTTCAGTTAGTTGAAGCAACCTGCCTGTTGAACTCCAGTATTTCAGGTCTCTATTGGAAAGGCAGAACAGCCTGGCACAGAGGTGGGAGAAAACCCTTATGTGCTGTGCAGCTTCTGCCAATGTTTTTTATTCATCCCTGGCTTCTGCAGTGCTGGACCAGAGACCTGGGGAATGAAGGAGGCATGACCCCTATCTCTTTCAGAGAGTGCTGGTTTTGTACAGCCCCAGGGGGAATTCAGAAAATGCAGCTGTGACAAGCAATTTATGCATGGAAAGGGGAAGGCTCTGCATGTCACATCCTCATCTTGCAAACATTGTACAAGCAGGTATAATAAAGCCCTAATTTTTTCCAAGAAAAATATTGTTAAGGATACATAAACAGAAAGTTCAAGAAACACTTACTTTGAAAACAGACACTAGACTTTAATCTAGTTCTAGAATTGTGGAAGAGCTTTCACAATGGATCTTGATTCTCATGGGAATATTTGCAAAGACCCTCCTATTTCAAGGTTGCTGCCATTTGGTCTCACCCCTGGCAAACTTCCTCCTTACACACCCAACAAAATGAAGATAATAAGGGAAGAAGGAGGTGAGAGAAGGAGATTTAGACCCTGTTGACACAGGGCTGGAGAGCACTGCAATACATAAAAAAAATTTCTGGCAGTTTTTGTGTAAAATATACATAGAACTCCTTAACCACACTCAGAAGAGGGAGCAAGGAGCCCCTGTAAGCAGGAAAGACAGGCAGCATGAGCTGTCAGCCAGGGAGAGTGGAAGAATCTTTGGCCCCTCTGTAACATGAAAACAAGTTAATCCTGTAGGGGTGTGAAATAAAAATAAACAGTGGCTATCATTTGGGAAGATATTGCATTTATAAAGTGGCTGCTCTGGCAGGGGCTGATAGGGTTAAATATGGATTTAACATTTTTGAGCAGCTGTAACTTAGGTATCTGAGGGATTTTCCACACCCTGCAGTCTTGCTTTTTTTATTATTTTTTTTTCCCTGTGCCTTTCTGAGAATGTTAAAGAAACCCAAGAAATAAACAAAAATACCACAATTTAGACATAGCTGTCTGATTTAATAATGCTGTTTGGAAATACATGCAAGTTTTGATGACAGAGCAGTGTGCCAACCACAAAGTTTCAGTATCACAACTGTAACCCTTTCTCTTCCAGGTTCAGGTTTAGTGGTCGAATTCTTGGTCTTGCTCTGATACATCAATATTTGCTGGATGCCTTTTTTACAAGACCCTTTTATAAAGCCCTCCTCCGAATGTGAGTAGAATTGTTCTGTCTCCTCTTTTGTTTGGTTCCTTCCCCATCAGTGATGCCATTTTGTGTATGGATTATTTATGATGCTGTATTGACAAAGGAGACAGGCCATTATTTCTAATTTAATAAACTGATTTCAATCCATTAACTTTTTGAAAAATTTCCTTGTTTCCACTACCTCAGAATGTTGTTTGTGATCAGTATGAGAACCTTGTGTTTTGTTTTAGCCCTGTTACCAGCTTTCTTCTAGACTTGAAGATGTACAATGCCGTGCTGTGGGCTTATTCCAGATATTAATAGAGTTCTTATTCTTTTGTCATATAATGACTCACAGGATAGGATATGAATCACTTCATAACTTAGACTGCACCATGCATTCTCAGAGGTAGACTGATTGTTGGCAATCTCCATTTTGAGGAGCTGTACTTTGATAGACTTCAGACTTAGTTTCCAGAACTACTGCTTCTGTTCTGGCTGAAACAGTGAGAGCTGTGCTTGCTCAGCATGTCTGGAAGCTAAGACCTAATAAACTTAAGGTGCTTTACTTTTATTTGAAAGCTGGTTTTGAGAAGTCTGGAAGCATTTTTTTTTCCTATAAAACATTGCATGTTCTACTAGTGGGGAGTAATTAATCCGTTCCTACTGCACATACATTTTTAAAACACCTGAATGCTAGCAGCATCATTTTAGTGAGAAGGATGAGGTAAGGGAAAGTATGGTAAGTATGTGGTAAGCTGGAAATCTAAGCAGTTCAACAAATTATGGAGATGAGGCAGTGTAGCTACATAAACAAAAAGGACACTGCTTGCTTATTTAAAAAAATCTTAAAAATTCTTCTATTATTTGAATTCTTTGTCTCTTCAATCTGTGTATTTTCATATTTCCTAAATGTGCTTCTCAGGAAACATGGGGCAGACTCACCATTAAGAAGCAATGTGTCTTCAAATTAAATTCTGGAGTTTTGTATATTTACAGAGTTATTTTGTGTTTTACAGTAACTGCTGTTACCAGGCAAATAAACAGAGACTTGAAGTTGTCCTCTTTATTAATGTTTCTCTTGGCTCCCATTCAGTTTTGTCTGGGTTTATTTACTGAGCACAGGCTGCTGCCATCATCTGTATTTGTGTGTTTTCTTCTTTCTTCTGTCAGACTCTGTGACCTGAGTGACCTGGAATATCTGGATGAAGAGTTTCACCAGAGTTTGCAGTGGATGAAAGACAATGACATACACGATATCCTAGATCTCACGTTTACTGTAAATGAAGAAGTTTTTGGGCAGGTGTGCAAGATTCTTCATTTCCTTGGTGCATTCTACTGCTAGATAAACATTTATTTGGACAGAAGAATGAGTGTCCTTCCATGCTGCTTTGAACTTGTATTCTAAAAATTCCTGCTGGTGAAACCAATGTTGAAATTTGAGGAGGAATTAATATTTGTAGCAGGTCAAACATGTTTTTCTGGTTAAGGAGCTTTTCTGGAGAGTATCCGAAACATCAGAATTTAGGATTGCTTTGCTAGACGTAGTTCACCTGAATTTAATTGCAGCAAAGTTTCTATTCAAAGGTATTACAACACCTTTGTTAAGGTATTATTCAGAAAACTCCAATGCTTTAGTCACTGTCAAGATTGTTTCTTCTTCTCAACTTATTCTTCAATCTAATTATGAAGGTTCCTCAGACTAAATGGAATTTAAAATACTGTTTTTAAAAATTTTTTTTGTGTGTTCTCTTACTTCATATATTCCAGTTTGTTAGTCAGGCTTGTTTAGCGATTTTGGGGAATACTCCAGCTTAAAAATTTAAGTTATTACAGTTCCTTCTTTTGTCTTTATAATAACTGTGTTGTCACTTGGTCATTTTTTGTCCTAAGATCACAGAACGGGAACTAAAACCAGGAGGTGCCAATATCCCAGTCACTGAAAAGAACAAGAAAGAATACATCGAGAGAATGGTGAAATGGAGAATTGAGAGAGGAGTTGTACAACAAACAGAAAGTCTAGTTCGTGGTTTCTATGAGGTAAAAAGCTCCAAAATTAAATTTACTTTCTTTCTCCTTCCAAAATATTTTTCTTCTTGTATACATTTCCAAAATACAGGGTCCCAAATATAATCAGAAGTGCCCTTGCAGATAGTGGAAGAGGAAGGGAGCGCAAAAAAAATTTTTTTAGTAATTTATATGAAGACTATGGTTATGTATCTACTTTGCACTGGACAATACTCTCAGTCACTATATGATTAGCATTGAATCCTTGCTCTGTTTCTGCATTGGGTCTCTGAGACTTGTTTGTTTAAAAAGACAAAACCTGAATTCTGAATTACCTGAAATGATACCTGGTAAATACCTTAGTAACAGATTTTATGGGGAGGCACGAATCAGTACATGAAGAAATGCTGCTATGCATTTTATTTTCTTTCACAGGTCGTTGATGCAAGACTGGTGTCTGTATTTGATGCCAGAGAACTGGAACTGGTTATAGCTGGAACAGCAGAAATTGACTTGAGTGACTGGAGAAATAATACAGAGTACAGAGGAGGTAACTTGAATTTTGACTTGTTCAGTCACAGTGTCGAGAGCTCTGGACCTACCTAGTTTTCAGGACAGTAAAGAACCATCCCATGAGATACATTTGTAGTAACTTTTGAGTTTCTCTGGTTAAGTTAGTGTTAGGAGAAGGTAATTTTTCCATTTTAGTTTGCTTCCTTGCATCCCCTTGCCGAGATAGCACGACAGGACACTCTTCTCCACAGAAAGTGCCATGTTCAGCTGCACACTGGGAGGTACCTCCCAGACCTGGGAGAGAAATGGAAATGGTAGCCATTCTTGGTTGCAATATTCCTCTTTTTTTTTTTACGCACTCAAAGTTGACAGGAAATTAGAAACAATCACAGTGGCTGCAGGCTGGTAGTTGAAATAATTTCAGAACAACAGAAGATTTGGGAACTGTGAGATACTGTGAGAGAGATGGTTGCAGCATCATTTGTAGCTTTGGATAGATAAATAGCACAATGCTGGAATAGTTCAAGAACTGGCAATCATGTTAGTGACTGATTAATGGAAGAAATGCTTGCACAAGGGATCTCACTTCTTTTTGTCACAGTACATTCATTCTTTGCCTTTAGAATTTCTAAGGATTTTAGGAGTATTTCTCTCTCACCTTCTGCCTTTTGATGCAACTGGATAAAGAATATAGCATTATTATGACTAGGGCCAAACCAGGAAAAGTTTACTAACTATTCCCTCAACCACTTTCACGGCACCTGAAAGTATAAAGGCTCTTGTTTTAACAGGTTATCATGACAATCACATTGTAATTCGGTGGTTCTGGGCTGCTGTGGAAAGGTTCAACAATGAACAACGTCTAAGACTTTTACAGGTAAGAAATCAGCTGATCTGTGTAAAAATAATTAAAATTTGGTGCTCAAATAGCCCCATCCTGGTTTAGGATACCCAGAAACTATGGTGATGTTTACTGCTGGGAATAGCCTGACTCAGAGGCTAAATGAAATTATTTCAAGTGACAGAAGCTCATAGCTATTTTATAGATTTCTAAGTTTAAAAGTACATTTAAGATACAATGGCTAATATCAATAATTCTTTACTATTGTTTGATTAAAAGTACATTAAGACTCCTAAAGATAGAAAAGGAAAGCTGTGTAATTGGTTATGTCATTAGGTAGAAATGTTAATGGTATTTATACAGCTTAGGAAGGAGAAAGCTTAGATAGAAGTTCAAGGCTTCAAATTGGAAAATAATGATAGAAACCTTAAAGTCAGTCCAATTCCATTTTCACTAAACCTGCAGGTTCCAGTCACCCTGCTGCTGACTGAAGGACAAAATGTCTCAACAGAAAAATATTTATACATGTGGGTTTACTATTGACTTAAATTTTTAAAGTTCAGGTTACATCCATCCTGTCTGTAAAGAAACAGACAAACCTCCACTGCAAACCATACCACGTTATTGATCTAATATGAAATCTGCTGGTTTTAACAGTTCAGAATTTTTATCTGATGACTGAATTATGAAGAATTTTCTTTTTTGAATCTGTTTAAGTATTTTTTAAAAGCTGTAAAAAGGCAGTGTAGAACATCTCATTTGATGGCGAGACAGAAATGTCTGCTTGTATGTTCCTGTCACATCTGTTAGTCAGAAGTTTTTATAATATCCAGGTCATTACATATTAAGTAGTCTCTGATCTGTCAAAAGCTACATTTGATCTGTTCATGACAGGTTGTAAATAAAACTGCTCACCAGTCACTATTTCAACAAATGTCAGTAGGCATATCTAACCTTCAGAATTTTGTCCTTTTCTTACAGTAGTTAATTGTGGTTTATAAAGCAAAGGAAATCCATATAGCTAGAAAGGCATAACACAAAGCCACCAGATATTACTATGTTTTGTGTTAGTTCCTTTTAATGCAGGAAACAGCAGCAAAAAACTCACTTAGGCTTAAGTCTGAGTAACTGGATACTGATAGTCTGTTATTCTACAATATTTATGCAGCAGCAAAGCTTTAGAGGAAATTAATCTGCTAAGTTGCCTCTTCCAGAGCCCAGCCAGGAAATGGTCTCTTTGCCCTTAGCCTCCATGTAAAGTAGCATTTATTGCTTGTGCCTCACAAATTTCCTTGCTTTGCAAATGCTTTTCCAAAAGTGTCTGGGCTGTGGTGGGTGTGCTGCTGTGCCCCCCCCAGCCCCTGTGTGCAGGCCTGTCCTGACGGGTGTTTGTGCTGCCAGTTTGTCACAGGCACGTCCAGCATTCCCTACGAAGGCTTTGCCTCTCTCCGGGGCAGCAACGGGCCCAGGCGCTTCTGCGTGGAGAAGTGGGGGAAGATCACTGCTCTTCCAAGGTACAGCTCTGGGGGCTCCAGTGCCAGGGTGGCTTCACAGGGCCACTCTCTGGGGTAACAGATCAGCTGTTGGACAACATTAACAAGCTTTCACTGAATATGCAAATATGCCTTCCCGTACATGCATACTTCCTTCCTGTTGTTGCAATGTCTGATACATCCATTTTGGTTTGAACTCAGTTTTGTTCTCTTAAGCTGGACAAGGCAGTGTAACTGTGGCTGACATCCATATTGCAGTGTTTTTCTCCTGGAAAATCATCTTAGAATGATAGCTACTTCTGACTTTCTTTATTACATTTGATTAAATGTGCAAGTATTTACCTAGTAAACATGCAGTTCACAAGTTAGGAGCACAAATGAATATGAATTAAAATGAAATAGCTCTTGTGACTATGTCTCACTGAAAGCTACTATCATATTTTTTGCATCAGACAAAGGCTTTATAGTGTAGTTTACTGATACAATTTTTATGCTTGGTCTGGTGTCAAGTGTTAACAAATACTGAAGAGGCAAGTTATGAGTGCAAAATAGGAGGGAGTAATTTCACTTGAGAAGCAGCAAGAGAGACAAGAGAAGGTAAGGATTTCAAACAGAACAAGTAAAATCACTTGAAATAGGTGAGGAGGGTAAAGGAACAGTAAGAGAGTCCAAGATATGAAAGCAACAGTTGAGTTGTACAAGCCCTTGCAATTTATATTGGGAAGGGCAAGTTTAGAGGAGTAGGATGAAAAGATTAAAAAAAAACCTTTCCAATTTTTGGAACAGAAAAAGAGTTCTTCTCAAGGTCCATGGTAACAATGCCAAGACTAGACTAATATGTGAGTGATGAAAAAAACACCTTCAGCTTGGTTTCTTCATTGACAAAACATGACAGGTTCTTGTCTTTACTGTGATGAGACTGATAGGTGGGAGATTTTCTTTCACCCAGTTCTGTGATTCTGCAGCCTCTAGAGTTAGGGTTAGGAGTGGTTAGACACAGATTAGTGTGTGGAGTGTGGGCAGCCTAACTCTGCTTAATCAGACCTCAGCTTTAGTATGCTGTGTACAGCCTCTGGAGGCGGCTTTGGGCTGGGCTGATCCCTGGAGCAAGCTCAACCCCAATCATAAACCCACTCCTCATAAACAAGAGGCCTCAGGAATAACTTGCATTGAGAGTCTCATCTTAGACATAGGGTGGCTGTCAGAGACACTCAGAGTCTCTCTGACCAGCAACCTGTAGGTTTTTCCTCCAGCACAAGGTCAGAGGCAGAAATACCTCTTGAGTTGGCTGCTGCCATCAGAACTGCATGGAGAAGGTCGTGGACACAGAAGTGGTGCTGTGAAATCCACCGGCACAGGGGGTGGCCTTTAAACAGAGCCATCTTTCCTGTTTACAGCATAAATGAGAGCCAGGCAACTAAAGATTAAAGGAATCCAAATCCTGAAAATTGCTATTTCATATCAAATGTCATCTGGGGACCTAGTAATATCTTGTAGCCCAATAAGTCTCCTTTATAGTTTTATTGTGATTGGCCTATGGACTAGCTTTGATTCTTTTTTAAAAAGTAAAAGCTGTGCCTTTTTAAAAAATAATTTCTGTCTTCAAAATTCAAGGTTTTGTTTTTTTTTTTTTTTGTGACTTTAAGTAAGAAAAGAGATTGCATGATTTTTTCCATATATTCTCTGAAGCTGAAATTCCCGATGCTTGCAAGCAGGGCTTGGAAAAGGTCAGGGCCTGGCAGAACAGGATGTTCAGAATTTTCTCTGGAAAGCTTATGCAGAACCCTGGTTGTGATAAATTGCAGAATAAAACTGCTTCCAAAAGTGCAATATGGAGAAACATGTTGAGAATCTTTGCTATCATAGGCTGTTCATCAAGTGTAGGGGAAATGCCAGCTCCTCACATTTAAGAGATTGTATCATGCGTTGAAATTTCACTTACCTCACCTTCCCTTGGTTAACAAACATTTGAATTTTGTCTCTCTGGATAGTTTTTACCTTACAAATGTGAGAATTAAAATAAAAACAACTGTGTGTGACAAACACCTGCAGTCATCATGGGCAAGCAGTTCCTGTTATTCGCACATGGTAAACCTTGATGTCATAAAAATGAAAGCTCTTCCATGTTAGTGCTGAAATGGGTTAAGCCCCAAGCCAAAAGCACTGTTTGCATTTTTACATGTGTAGTTCCTGGATGCAGTGCAGCTTCAGCCTGGGTCTCAGCAGCCTCTGAGACTCCCTGTGCAAACACGGGGTACTTGCTGGTTTGCAGGTAACACATCAGTAACTACAACGCCGAGTAGCAGCTTTCAAGAGGTTTCCAAACAAGCCCAGCATGTGTAAACATATCACTGGATCTGCTGGGAACGCTGCCCTAGGACTCTGGCTCTTACTGATTCTCAGATAACTAAAGCTTTTATGTTAAGGCACCATCACTCACTCCTAGCAGTGCTGTACTTTGCAAATTGCCCTCTTAGCAGGAGTGCCTGTGAAATTTGATAGTGCTCAGTGCTCAGGTGGCAAAAGTGAGGATTTAATAGGTCAGTGGACTTTGTTTCTTCCTCTGTTTCTAAAAACATTACTGCAGTGCTGAAAACACATAAGAATACCCATCCCCATTTCTTCTTCCTGGTCTGAGCCACAAAGGGCAGCTAGGATAGTCACTTAGGTATGTGGCTGTGGCCTAAGCAGCTGTGAATGTAAACACAAAAGTTTTCACTAGATGTTTGCCTAGTTCCCACTGTTCTGACTGCTGTGTAATCAGCTCTGCTGAATCCAAATAGTGAGATTTCTGTGAGGCACATGTCAGGTTGCCCAGCTTGTATTGCTGTCTTTGACCCTAACTAGGTAGCATGTAAAATGCCCTGGAAAGATTGATTACTATGGCTCTAGCTTAACTACTGCTACCCCAATGCCACTTCTACTTCCTTCTTTTACACTGTGTTGCAGATTAGACTAACTATGGGGAAGGGACCGTGCTCTTTCAATTCACTCCCGTGCTGAGAAATTGGTTCCAGGTTCATTGCTGTGCATTATTTATTCATTCATGTGGCGATTCACTTGGAGATTATATTTATGTGTGACTACTGCATTTTAATCCTAAATCACTCTCTTTTACTATGGTAATCAAAATGAAGGGGAATGTAATTGGGAATCTGGGAACCTAGACTTTAGGAACCAAGGTGGGTTTTTATGTTGTCATAAAATGTGAGCCCAGGAAGATGAACAGTCAGTGCCCATGAGGTTTGAAATGTTGGAATGGGAAGATACTACCCAGAAGGAAAAATACACATTTGTCTCAAGGACTTAGGAAGTTGTGTGCTGAGGTTGGAAAAGCTTGCGTTGCCTCAGAAGACAAAGGTCTTGTTTTTGTCTTTTTTAATTACTTGGTTTTCCACAGTAAGTTATTCCATTTTCAAAATTGCCCTCAAAATAAGATAAAACTCAGTTCTCTTAATAAATGTAAACAACATGCCAGTTTACTATTAAATCAGTTCATAATGAATCCCTTGCTAATTATATACTGTGTCTTTTATAATTTGTGGTTTTACAGCCCACACAGCATGATCCATAGTTCTAATGAGTGGCTTTCAGCCCCATGGAGCAGAAGCATGTGGTTAGGCTCTTAATTGCCTAAGATTCTTCAACACTCTACATTGAATTCAAGGGATCACTGAGTTCCAGTTGCTGCTGGCCTTTAATCAGTCTTTTTCTTCAAAAGAGAGTATTTTCAATTTTTTTAAAGTACTCTGCAGGAAATGGAATAATATCATCTGTATCATGATATAATTTTATAAGGTTTTTGGAAAGGCCAAGGAGGAATAAAAGGAAAGCTTTCCTCCAGGAGCCTCAGAGATGTCTGGGTGGAAAAATTTTTCCAGACCCCTTGGAATATGGAATGGGGAAATGCCATCTCTGCTAGACAGCATGTACCAGCAGTGTTCTTGTAAGGATACTGGGTTTGGGGTGGGTGCTAAAGGCAATGTTTTTTTAAGTGATTGCATATTTGGTGTTAAGACTGTGTTTATAATAATGGTGTGACCTTGTGTGCTGTGTATACATATCTTCAGCCTGATATTTTTATGACACTACAAGGCTCTTACTGAGTGGGTGTTTCAGCTTCAGTGAGTTCCAGTTTGTAATGGACTCTGAGGTTTTTTAACAAGGGAGATTAGCCCACTTCACTCCATGTTCTGTTCCCATAGCTGGGAGCTGAGAGGCACTTAAAGTGGCAATTAATGAATTTGCTCACATGGAAGGCAGTACTTTCTGGCTCAGAGGAAGTCTGTACAGGTCTGTGGTAGACAGCTGGATTTCTGGGACTGGGTAGGTAAAATGAGGAGTTGCATTTGCTGTGAGGAGGGAGCTTGTTCAGTCCTTCCATTAACATGTTACATATTTATGCATAACACAGATCATAGTGATGAAGGGCAGGGCACTGCAGGAGGAGTTTGATTTTCAGCTGGATTGAATTTAAATAAATAACTCTATGATGTATTTTATTGCAAAAGATTGAAGTATTTGTAAACAGAGACATGCCAAAATTCTAAAATCAATCTAAAGTGAGGCTTTGTTACAAAGCTTTAGAGCAGAAGAGATGCCTCTTCCAGTTTCTCTTTGCATCATTTCATCCTCAAGATCCCATCACATTAATACTTATGTTATCTATTTCATTAGAGCAGGCTCATCCACCTCAGTGTTTTAGAAAGTACCATCCTTAGCATGCCCTGAGGTCAGGCAATGATATCCATGGTTCCACTATGAAGAGAAACGTTTGTTATCTCCCTTTTCATTCCCTGCAAGAGGATTTGAGAGACAGTTCCAAGAGTGTCAACAAACTTGAGGTAGATGGACTTCAAAAACTGAGAAATAAATCGCATGGTCGCCCTCTTAAGAAACAGGGAGGTTGCTAGAGGTTCATGCATGGTTTTGTGTAATTCCAAAAGCTGCTGGCCTCTAGGGCAGCTATGTCCTTTGGGAAATCAGCACAAGCAGTATGCCTCAACAACACCATCCATATGCCATATGAGGAAATTGTAGAAGAAAGAGCATCTAATTCATCTGTCTTTTGCCACTGTAGGAGTGTTTCCTATAGACCTGGAGATGTGTGGAAATATCTTTTTATCATTACAAATACAGTATTCAAGTATCATCCATACAGAAAAGAAAGGCTACGTCTCAGAAGACACATTTAAAGCCAGGATTTCAGACCAGACTGTTTGACTTGTACCATGCCAAATCATTCTTCTTTTTTCTCATGCACATTTGATGGATAAAATTTATCCCATGCCTTTTGGACTGTCAGTATGTTTCTAAAGAGCTTCATAAATGCTTCTTACTGGCTTATTTTAATGAGAAGGAAGTAGATTAAACCTCACTACCTGTTCAATTGGAAAACATCATTTGACAGAACAAAGTCTTCTAAAAGAATACTATCTGCCCATCTCTATTCAAGCACATACCAATCTGTGTGTTCTCTTTTGAACTTTTCAAATAATACACTTCTTCACCTCCTCTCTCTTTTTCCCCTCAGGGCTCACACTTGTTTCAATCGTCTGGACCTTCCCCCTTACCCATCATTCTCTATGTTATATGAAAAACTGTTGACAGCAGTGGAAGAGACAAGTACTTTTGGACTTGAGTGATACACAAACCACAGTGCCCAGCTCATTGGACTTTTGTGGATCTGTCTTCTCAAGGAATGAATGAACTTTTGTATTGGATTTCCTAGAGGAAAATTGTTTCATGGTGCAATTCAAATAATGAGGTTCCACGAAGGAGCTTGTGAAGCAATTAAAAAGCATTGTAGTAGTGGCAGAATTCTCGACAGTGAAACTAGAGTGTGCCTGGTGTGCAGGGAAAGCCAAGTCTTGCAATCCATGGGTTTTTGGGATGGCTACACTTCTTAAGTTTATGTTCTGAGCAAACCAGAAACGTGATGCCATGTTGTGATCCATCTGGCTACTGCAAAACTGACATGTACCCAAGGACTGGATTTCATCAAAGTTGTTCAATAGAAAATTCAAGTCAAAATGTGAAATCATTCAGTCCCTTACCTACCCAGTAAATTATCAAAAAAGCATACAGCCGAACTTCTATAAATTCTTTTTTTTTTTTTTTTAATTCATGAAGGTACATTACTTTATGCCATATGTTATAACAGCATATCCAACACTTGCTTTACCTAAGACTATGAGTGCCTGCCTGGGGAACACCATAGAGCTCGAGTTCCTGGGGCAGAAGTGAGTTGGAAGGAAAGGCAGCAACAAAGGATGTAACAACGGCTTGTGCATTGAGGAGGTTTGTGGAAATGCATTTGCCAGTGGTGTGTATGACAAAATATGAGCTGTTACAATGAACTTATTAACTTAATAAGACTGATTTTATGCTTTATACTGCATGGAAACTATTTTAAGAAGAAACTAGCAATTTATCACAGCATATCAGGAAAAAACCCTAACACAGTGACTTCTGTTTATTTTTATAGGTTCATTATATTATGTTTCTTAGAGTGTAAACAGGAAACAAGCAAACAAAAGTGTTATTTCTGTTTTGTCACTTTCCATGCTTGAACAGACATTCTGCTAGTGTTTATTCTTTAAGCACTCTCCAGGGAAAAAAATGCCTTTTATTTTTATAAGAGTAAAAAAACTCCCAAAAATATTTTGCACTGAATGTACCAAAGTTGAAGGGACATTATGATCTGACTGATAGCAAATTGCATCACTATCAAATATCTATAAAAATGCTTAGGAACCAGGCTTTCTTCACAGTGCCATGTCTATAGATATCAGGACTGTGCACATAAGTAATAATTTTATAATACTATAAGTGATATTGTAATATGCATTTATTTTAAATGCATCTGGGTCATTTTTCATGCATTGGATAACTTAATGCAGTGGAATTTAATACAGATATTTCATATACTCCCCACAACTTTTTATTTGTACAGCACTGTAAGACACTAGCTCATTTGGAAAACCATGAATAACTTTAAGGTGAGCCACTGGTCATAATGCCACTGTCCTGTATCAGTGAACACCTACAAGATGTAAACTGTTCGTAGTGTCCAAGCTTGCATTTTCACTGATAAATAGTTTTCTTATCCAGTGCTCTTTGAAGCAGTTTCTATGGCATATCAAACACTGCATGGACACCAGTTTCTTTATGCTTAATTTTGCTGAAATACACGAGGCTTGCTCGCTTCTATTTTTGGTACTTTTCCTCCAGATGGTCTTGTGGAACACTTGTGCAGCTGTGCCCCATTTCTCGCACAGCTGCTGTCACGCGCTGCATCCACCACATTTTAAAATGGCAGGAGTTGCGCTTGGATACTGGATGGCAAGAACACGAATCCAGCTCTGTGCTACCCTTTTTGGTAGTCCTGCAGCACAGCAAGCCCTGTTCTGTGGGAAAAGTAGCTTTTGGAGTAACCTTCTCACTTTGGAGGCTCTTGAAGGGGCGTCTGAGGGAGGTGTCCTGCTTGTTCTGGTGGGAGGTTTGTTCCAGCGTCCCTGGAGATGTCGTCAGCAGAGACTGCCAGTCACCCTCCAAGGCAGAAGGCAGCTGCAGCTGTGGTGGTGACTGAGAAAACCCTGCAGACTTACTGAGGAAATGTTACGTGTGCAAAGGAAAAGCAAAATCAGGGGGAAAGCATTCTTTTATTTCAAGGATAATTGAGCTTCTGCATGACATCTGGGACTCTCTTAAGTAACGTAGGTTTTCTTAGGCTACTTCTGGCTGGTATGAAGTAGCAGAGAAAAATCCAAACACATCACCCTGTTTCTACACATATATTTATCAGTCTTTGCTAAGATTGCATGTCACGGGTCCTAATGCACATCTCTTTTCAGAACATGAATGAGCAGTAGGCAAACTGACTTTTCAGCAGGTCACTCCAGCATGGCTCATGTTTCATGGGATCCATTCACTGAGTAGCTAAAATTCTGGCACTCAGAGCAGAATGCAACTTATGATTGGTTGAAGGACTGCAGAATTTTCATTTTACAATACTGTGTTATCTGTGGTCTTAAAAAAGAGATTTCCCAGGTGGAAACTGTATCTACAAGTTTTGAACCAGATACTCTTTGGAATGAAAAGTTTAAATATTTGGCACAAAGTAAGTTTATACTAGTTTGCCTTTTAAGTTATGCTTTTGTACAAAACTAAAACAATAAATGCATCTTGTCAATTTTTATTTAAATATATCTACTGCACCCATTTGTTCTGTATTTATGCATGTAAAAATAATTGAAATCAGCCATGATAATCCAATATTCTGTAAAGATGTGGCGAGTGGGTCACGAGTGGGACAGCTGTCAGTTAGAAAATAGATTAAAAAAAAAAAAATCCAGAATCTTTGTAGAACTAAAGCCAAGAGAGACTAAGGAGAAGTTGCTGCTTCCTCCTGTGCTGCCAGCATGCCCTGGGGACTCTAGAAGAGCGCTGTGTGAAGGTTGAGGTGTCAGCTGGGTACAGCTCCCTGTGCTGCCTCCAGCACTTGGCTCTTTGTGACGGTGTAAGTGATGCTGCTGCTCTAAGGGATTAGCAAGGAGGGAGCAGAGGAGAGGAAGCCTGAGCTTAGTCAGATACCCACATCTCCTGGCAACTGCTTGGAATGTTCTCCCTTTGGTTTTGGAAGCCATTCCCATTAAGTGTGTCCCCAGGGAAAGCCAGCTTTCATGTCCTGCAGCTGGCTGCAGCAGGCGACCACAATGCAGTTGCTTATGACACAGTGTAGCAGGGATGAGGGTCCACACAGAGCAAGGCTGGGGAGCCTTTCCAAAGCTCTGTATCTCCTTGGAGCTTTTCCAGATGGTGCTAAGGAGCTTTGCATTTAGGAAGGAAAAAGTCGACAGAAGAATCCCTTCAGCCAATGACAACTCCTACTAACTTAACGCGCAGCATCTCCATCACACAGAGGCTGGCAGGGGAGGTCCCTGCAGGAATTGAAGTGGGGTGCCCAAGTTTCCTGCTCTGCTGGGAAGTGGAACCACACATCACCAGGCAACAAGCAGCTCCCAGGTCACTGCAGCCTGGGCAGGCTGGCAGCAGAGTGGCCTCTGTCCCCCACATGCCAGGACAGGCCCCCTCTCCCCAGGTCCCAGCATCCCAGCCCAGCAGAGGTGTGCTTTTTTCACCTGGCACTGCTGGCAGTGAGGTTATAGCCAGAACACTCCTAAATACACCACAAAAACTTGGAATCAAGGAGGTTGTGCAGTGTGGCACCTGCTGTAGCAAGCAGTCGCCCATTGAGAGTCTGTGGGCCAGCAGTGAGGGGAGTGGTGCCTTTGCCCACAGCAGCAGGGCACAGCCATCTGCCACCTCCGTCACACCACCTGCAGCACCTGGCAGGGCAGGGCAGGAAAGCCTTTCGATCCAGACCTTTTTCCCCACCCACTCCCTGCCTGCTGTTTTTTCTTGATATTCATCAAATATTTGCCTCCCTTTGCTTTTAAACATTATTTTCATTATCCTGTACTGACCTTACCATAAAAAAATGCTAATATGGCTTAGAGAGTATATGGGGTGAGCTATTCTGTGTTCCCAGGCAAGCCTGCTCACGGGCACCACATGAGCTCCACATGGCAGCAGTCAGCCCTGAGTCACAGGGGGCAGAGAATAGCTGTAATCTTCAGGGAAACTGAAAATCTTAGCAGCAGTGCCCTGGCAGGACATCACACAGAGCTTCTGGCAGGAGCTGGACTGGCAGAGCACCGGACTGGTAGTTTGCTCAGTTTAAAATTATAGGAAAGAGAAGAGGTTTGTTGTTTCTTATGTATTTTTAATCCTTTAAAAAAAGTTTTTTAAAAAAATTCCTTCTGAAGCATTTGCAATGGTATCATCTGGTTGTTAAATGTAATCTCAGCAGTATTAATTGCAGATGTTTACTGAGTTTCTGCAGTGGTAGCTGCAGAGTTTTTATGGAGCTGATGGAAGCACACTGCCTCTGCACTGAGGGAATCCTTGTTCACATCAGGGAAACTTCAGCAGCTGTGTTTGAATGGCCAGTGTAAGTTCATTTCCCATAGCATAAAGCAAGTTATTTCTTTTCAGTGAAGGAAACTTATCTGCATTAAGTTATACTAATAGTGTTGTTTTTCCTGCCACTTTTTTATGTGGAGGCTTAATATATTCCTGTTAGCACTAATGGGAATTGAGCTGAACGTTGATCTCCAGTCATAAGATTGCAGATATAGCTTTCATCTACTGTTGTTTCCCCTTCTCACCCTTTTTTCTCTGGGCAAGCAATTGAACTCCAAGCAAAATTTGAGAAGAATTACTCAAAGCTGGCTTCTTAAACTGTTTGTGTTTTGGCTCAATTATGTGCTATAAAACAGAACTGCAGAAATGCTATGAGTTGACTGGACTAGTTTAACCTTTTGCCTAAATATTTTACAATAAAAAATTTTTGGAGGTTGAATTTGAAATAACTTGTTTGCTGGAAAACTAAATATATGTTAGGCAAATAGTAGAGGAAAATAATAACTTTACTGTAAAGGCAGTTAGCAGTATGCAGAATTACAATGCTGACCCTCCAAACACAGAATTTTCACAATGAAAGATGGTTTATACTTTTGCATGTCTTCCAAATAGACCATGAACTTCGTAGTGCTTCTGTTCAGCTTTAGACTGACTAATTTTGGCATTAGGCTACTACTATTTGGGATGTTCATTGCTATGAAATGTTTTTTATTTAAACATTTGTAATATTTTTACTAAATATTTTCCTTTAGGACTTTACTTCATAGGCTTTGTTCAGAGCCATATCATGCTGTAGGTATTTTAAGGTAAAATCATGATTATTTGATAATTCTGTTTTGTATGACTGATCTTCTGGCCACTGTTTAGAAAGGTTCCTCCTGATTTTTGGTAAAAGGATGCCAGTCAAGGACTCCTGGAATGGTTACAATCCATTGAAGTGTCTGTATGTATTCAAAATGCATTTTAAAATACCTCCTGAGGACTATGTGAAATAGTTGCTACACTCATTGATTAGCCCCTTTCCAAGTCAATATTTCAAAATTTGAACTTGTGTCCTTTCAGATTACATTGCAGAGTAATTATACTAAAATTTTAACTAAGATGTATTATTACAAATTTCTCAAAACTGTGAATGTGAAAGGGAGCCGAGCTATGCTGCTCTCAATCCTTTCACCCGTTAAAAAATCTTCTGAATAATCAAACTTTATCTTTTGGGTTGCATTTGTTTCTTGTTTTCAGAACTTTGAGAAGCTTCTCATTCAGCCCGTGTTAGAAAAAGCCTTGCCTACTTTGAGGCTTTTGTTAAGCACTCAGGAGGTATATTGTTCAACTAATTTAACATCCCTTTGTGCTGACATCAATTAGCTTTTAAATGTATAGACCTACAGAACTCCACAGGACTCTGGTCTCCCTTATTCTGGGCTGCCTTCCAAAGCCATCCATCCTATCCCTTTTCATTGCACATAATCCTACAGTCACCCAGAGACAATTGCTGACCACCTACACTGACTGTAGCTGTAGTATCACAGTAAGACTCTGGGTTGGGGTTTGTGTTCAAAAGCAGCTCCCTCAGTCCAGAGTTGACAGGATGACTGTTACTCTGACATCAAGTCTGAGCTGTTCAATGAAAATAGTCATAAAAGTAGTTTTGAAAATAGTTGATTAGATATCCAAAGGTAAAATGTCTTTTGGTTTTGGTTTTGCAAAATTATTGAGGCAGGGGATTTTGCTTGCAATGCTCAATGCTTTATGTTGCCAGAATTTGTGGGCTCCACGGGCTGCCCCAGGCTGTTGGCCAGGTGGGTGCAGAGCCTTTGCAGTGAGGCAGGTGATGCTGATCCAGAAAATCACAGCAGCAGGAGATCTGTTCCCGTCGTGAGCACTGTGCCTTCCACAGCTGGAGGCTTTCTCCTGCAGCCCTTGAGCTGGATTCTTCCCAAAAGCTCGTTCTCTCTGTGATGCCTGCTACTTGCAATATAAGCAGCTCGTGACACACTCCACTGACTATTCACCATCTTTCATTTTAAACGAGGATTACATTTTTCATAGTTAGGAATGCCCATCCAGCAGTATAAGGTCAATAAAAGAGGATTTTGCTGAGACATCATAATTGATTGCCATGCTGACTGCAGTCAGACGTTGGAGCTCGCTAATTTTAAAGTAGATTAGTGTATGAATAAGAAAATAAATCTCGGAAGCCTCATAAATAATTCTAAGAAGGAATGCAATTGTAGTGCTGTAATGATAAGACAGGGCAGTTCCACACAAGATACAGCCGTGGAGGAGTGCTGGAGTGAACACAAGCCTGAGAGTAGGCACAGGAAAAGAACTGCACTTCCAGGGTAGGGAGCAGGACAGTGAGCTGTGATGAGCCCTGGGGTATAAAACAGGACACTTCCTGCTTGAAAATTAGGCTATGATAATGCACCTAGGAAAAAATGACTGCTCATCCTGAAATACGTTGGTGTTGCTGCAACTGCAGGACATGCTTTAACTGATTATTAGCTTTTGAATATCTAAGTACACAATCAGAAAATTTACTTCTATGTTGTTTGGCTTTTTTGTTTTGTTTTATTGGGACCGGGTTGTTTGTTTATTTCTATTTTCAGGAAAACGAAGGCTTCTAAATAAAATAAGGGTGGTGTCTGGAAGTGGTCTTTTGTTTGTACAAGTAATGACTGTTTATTATTATCTGCATTTGGCAAGGGATATCACTTCTGATAAAAGGTTAAATCATCACAACCAATGGTGACTTTCCTTTTCAATGTGATGGGCCAAATCCCTAATGTTAGATGTGTCAAAATGCAGATTTTGGTTTGTTTTTTTTTTTTTTTTTAATACTTGATATTTGCATTATGGTTGTGTAAGAACCATGCATTTCCACAAAGACAAGGATTGATGTGGCATTTCCAAAGCTTAATTAGGGTAATTAGAATATTCTCAATTACCTAGGTAGCTTTAGCTAAGCAGATGCAAGTCTTGATTCCATTCACACTCTAATGACATTATAAAAAAAATACTGTGTAAGAGGGTGGGAGGGTTTCATGACGGGTTTCTGTACCTAAAAGTTGACCTGTTATTTTACCTGAAAGACAAGACTATTGAATGATTCAATATGATGGTCAAAGGAAGAATTCCTTGTGAGTTTTCTTCTGCAACATGGTTACTGAGACAGTAGGAGTTTTGTATAAAATATAAGTCCTAAATGAGAAGACAACTCCCATGTTGAACCATACTGGTTCAATAGTTCCATACAGCAGGACATTTTTCTGCAATGAGTCTGCAGCACTCAGGAGACTGCTGTTTATTATCAGCATTGCAGGGAGGAGGAGAATTATGATAATATTAACTACATAAATCACATTTGGAGGATGCTTTTTCTTTGTGCGCTGTTTTTCCTGGGAATGACGTAGCCTTGAGGGCATCCATGAAATCAGCAAGGCTGCTTTTTGAATAATTGACTGAACATTTGTACTTGTAAGGGCTGGTACAGTATGGAAAGGGAGACCTTTAGAGGAAAATAAGGTAATGAGGGATGTGGTGTGGAATACTGCTACCCCCAAGTCAGTTGATGTTCCTGCCCTTGCTAGATTACAGTTTGGTTTATTCAGCATGTTTGAAAGTGTGTAGAGTTTTACAAGTTTTTGTAGTGGGGATGCAGGCATCCAGAATCTAACAGGATTATAGGTGCATCTTCCTCATTTTTGACAATTACTTGATATAATTTTATACCAAGTTCTTTGTTTTTAAAGAATTTCAGGCACTGAGAATATGGAGTGCATATTTATTTCTAAGCTTTAAGTAGAACACGGTGTATTTTTTAATCCTTTCCATACTTTTCAGTTAAGTGTTCACAAGACTGTATATCAAATACAATTCCAAGTTTTTCTATCTTTCTACAAGCCAGTTTAAGTTTCATCTGAATTTGGTACATGACTTTCACAAAACACTAAATGGGGAATACCTGCTTCAAGCATTAAGATGGTTTCCCTCCTTTTCCCTATTTACATTGCATTACATTTCAGGATTTTTTTTCTTCGAGGCAGAGAGAGGAGATAGAAAATGTGTTGAGTGTGTTACAGGGGCACACAATGTGTGTCATTGTGCCTGGCTTCAAGGAATGTACTATAATGTTTGACTGCTCACAGATTTACATAATTTGAATACAGGACTGTTGTGTTGTATTCCCTGTTACTCAAAAAACATTTGGGGAAAAGAATTTTCTGTGTACAATTTTATTTTCATACTGATCTCTATTTTGTTTAAGACCATGTTTCATCATGAAATCACTTAATTAAAATAAATCTTCTTACAAAATCTGCTTTGTAAATCATCTCTTTTATTGTGCCTCTGAATATGCTGTAACATCCTTTTTGAAGTGAGTACCTTTAGAGCATTCTGTCTTTTGCAGCATTTAAAAACCTTTAGGAAAACCACAAGTCTTTCTGACATCTCCTTTGCTAAGTGGTTTCTGGTGGCCTGTGGAGTCTGGCATATTACAAATCATGATTTTGGAAGTGGGGAAATTAAGGATTCTGCAGTCATATGCAACATAATTTGAATAAGAGCTACATATGAAAAAAAACCCCAAAAACCCTTATGACAAAGCACCAGATATCACAGCAAACACATGGGAGAGGCCCAGGCCTCGTGGAAGAGCCTCTGCTTTTGAATAGAGCATCAGAGCTGGGAGCAAAATACTTCCCAGCAGTGGCTGTAACACAGGAAAGCTCTCTTTTTCACAAGGAAATACCTTCAGGGAGAAATGCATTCTGATGTCTTTAATAAAAGTCAGCGGCCCCCACCAAATATTTCCTTTTCTTAGAGATGGTAGTGCTTAGAGTGAGAGAAACTGGTCTTCAGTCAGCTCTTAGGCAAGGGTTCTCCCCACCATGACACAGCCCGAGGAGAATGGTTAAATGGCAACTTGTCACTTCCCCTGTGTGCAACACAAACTGTTTGGGGAATCTGATAGTGAAGTAATATTTCCATTTTTAAAAAAAACCCTTTATCTAGAAGGTGATTTTGCATTCTCTTGCTGCTACTCGAGATGCGGTGCAAGCTAACCTGAGTCACTGAAGGAGAGCTGCTGTGGGAAGAGGTGACGCTTTGGGACTGGAGCCCTTTCAGAATCTGTTCTCTGTCATTCTTGATGTCAGACTCATGAGATGTTTTCGTCCGGGTCACTGATAAGTGATGCCACGTAGTGCACAGTCACTCACTTTCCCTCGGTGTAAACACTGGAGCTGGCCTGGAGCTCGTGCTGGGTGTCACTGAGGCAGCTGTGGGAAGCAGTGCCTGTGTGGAATCCAGGGATTTCCCGCTGCACTGAGGATTGCCTTGTGTGAGAAGGTGGTGCAGAGATTTTAGCGTGGGGGGAATCAGATTTTTTTAAAAACTACCTATATTAAATAAAAACGAGTTGGAGAAGGCTCAGACACTCTGAGCTTCCAGCTGTGCAGCTCTTAATGTCGTGTGCTTGTCCCCACTGTACAGTTCCCTGCTGAGAAGGGTAGGCTGCCATCTCTTCAAACATCACCAGCCCGTGACAGACCTGAGCTGACCAGCATTCCTGGAGGGAGCAGAGCTTTTCCCTAGGCTGGCTGCCTAGAACACCTGTCCCTGGTCACCGGGGGCTGTGCATGCAGCTGTGCTAAATGGCCGCTGATCAAGTGGAAATCGTTCTTTCTGTGAAAGCCTCTCAGGCTGAAAAGAGCCAGCTTTGTAATGGATCGATAATCAAGGTAAGCCAGAGAAGAAGTAACTAAGAATGGGAGTTATGCAGCTAACACCTTTAATTGCTATTTTTTAATTATCCCACACACCAGGTGTATACATTAGGAATAATAATAGTTCATGATCCTGTACTGTTGTGACCTTCAGCCTGCCCGTTCCCCCTCCTCCACCTTTGTTTGTCCTTCTCAGTTGTGGTGTATCTAAGTAAAATTCCAAAGTCCTCAGGGTGGAGTCCTGTCAATTATACCCTTCTCCAAGTGCCATTCATGTTTCCATGGCATTATAGAAACAGATAACCAAGAGTACAACAACATGCATGTCACAAAGCATTTTTGGTATTTACTTGGTTTTCAAAACTTAAAGGGAGAGTAGAGCAAATCCTGAAGAGCATCAGTAAAGACATAAAAAGCAGCTAAGGAGACAAACATAAGCACTGTCATTTACTTCTTGGCACCACGTGCTATAATAACCTAAAACATCTTAATTGTGGGCATCATTTAAATTTACTCTGCGGCTCATTTGGTATGTTTGGAATGCTGCCTGCTTTTCATATTGCACAAAGAGCACTTCTCAACAAAACCAATCCTGTCCACATGTTGTATTTTTATTTGACAGATGTATTTGAAATCATGTTATAATCAAGAAAGAGTATGATCTGGAACACTGCAGAGATGGTGGAACTTTGTGAGAGAGAGTAAAGATTTTGGACTGCTTTTGTCAAAAATATTCACAGCTCAAAGTGCTAAAAAGCCACATGGAAGTGCAAGCAAGCAGGAGCTACATGTTTCCAGTAGGTAACTCAGTGTGCCATCTACATGGTGTGACGTATTCTAGACTCTTCAAGAGTATTTTCTGCTTTATTATCTTCGTTTATGTTACTTTCATCTTAATGCAAGGCTTGCTGTGACTGCATGACTTAGGCACTGTAATAAACAGGGCAATTACCCATTTCACTGGCAGTGCCATGGCACAAACAGAATTAACCCAGTAACTCTAATGGTGTGCTGCTGAAATGAAATACACACTTCTTAAACTCTTGTGCTACATTACTATTGCTGACTTCATGACAAACGTATTATAAAACGGATGTTTGCAAATTTCTAGCTCGTTGGATTGCTTCAGAGGAAATCAATTTGACAAACAAATTGCAACTATTTTAGAAGTCTTTCTATTTTCAGCTTATTTCTGAACCGTGCTTTAGGCTATTTTGAGTCCTTGGAAAGAGTCTTTGAAACCACAGGTTGGAGTATTTTAACTTTTTTTTTTTTTCCTGTGGGTTTCTCACGGCTCTGAAGACCCTGTTTCCCCTTGCATGCATGACGAAGAGATTGTCAAACGTGCTCCGTGCGCGCCGTGTGCTTACACAGGCTGAAAGCGCTCGGTTCCGGGCAGCTGCGGGTGAGAGCTGCTTTATCGCTGGGTTTTTAACTGCACCGGCCCGGTGCTGTGCCCTCGGAGCCCCCGCGGCGGCGGAGCCCGCACGGCGCCTCTGTCCCCGCGCCCGCGGCTTTTCCCGCCACGTCCCGCACCGGGAAGGAGCGGAACCGCTGCGGGCGCGGCTCCCGTCCCCGGCTCCCCACCGCGGGGGATGCACAGCACGGCGTCCGGCACAGCCAGCGCACCTGCCCCGGGGCCTCGGCCGTGCTCCGCTGCTCGAGCGCTCGGGGATGCAGCGGATGCACCCAGGAGCCTTCGCTGCGGGGTTTGGCTGCCGCAGCAGCGGGACCGGGACGCGCCATCGGTGCGTTGGGGCCCGAAGCGGCGGCTCCGCGCACCCCGAGCCCCGGCACCCCCAGCTCCCTCACGGCCGGGCGGCACCTGCCGCTGGGGGCCGGGCAGCCGGTAGAGGGCGCTGCCCGCACGGAGGGCGCTCCCGCCAATCGCCGGGACTCTGGGCGCCGCGGCTGGGCGCGGATTGGCTGTTCTGCTGAGGGGGCGGGGCCTGGCGCTCGCGCCGCTGGGACAGCCGCTCCCCTCGGCTTGCGCCTTTCAAACGCCGAGAGACGGCGAGAGAGCGGGAGCGGAGTTGTGAGGGACGGCGGGCGGCGGCCAGCGGTGAGTGTGCCCGGCCGGGGAGAGCGGGAGCGTACTCGGACGCGGGGGAGCGGGGAATGTGCCCGACCGAGGGGCCGCTGTGCTGTGCTGCTGTCTGGGCGCGGTGGAAGCGCCGAGCTGCCTCCCCGCCCGGTGCCGGGTCGCGCCGGGGCAGCGCTGTGAGGGGAGTCGGGGCTGCCCCGCGGGGACAGGGCCGGGTCCCGCCCGGCCGCTGCCGGCCTCCGTGGTCCTTCGCTGCCAAACGTCTTCCCGGCCCAGACCGGGGACTCGACGTCTTTAGAAAAGGTTAAAAGAGCTGACTTTTTTTCTCGGTAAACTTCCCTAGTTTATTGGGAAGCCTTTTTTCCCCCATAGCTGGTTGAATCTCACTCTCCTGAGCAGATTACGTGCTTCTTTGTGGGTTTCTGCCTGCTATGGGTATGTGTTCTTCTCTATTCTTGATGATACCGAGCTAAAAAAAGGAGATGTGGTGTCTTACCGGAGAAACAACGTCAAGGCAACGTGAGGCAGAAGTTCTCCTTAATAATTGCTCTGTATGAATGATCATGTACAATGAAAGCTTACGTAATAAGCTCGATAATGGTAATAAATTTGATAATGGTAAGCTGTCAGTCAGTGAGGCCAGTTATCGAGCACGAATGGTTTTCTGCTGAAGGACAGCAGGAAGAAGATACAGTTTAGGAGTTAAAGTTATCGAGGGAGCACAGCCCTAAGGAGAGTCATGTAAAATTTCAGACATCAAAATCATCCTCTTAAATGGTAAACTGTCATATAATGGGGAAGAAGGAATGCTTTGCTTGTTACAGAGTGAGTCAAAGACTTGTGTATTAGATTGTATTGTGACCTTTTCATAATTTCTTAAAGAAGCTATTTCCTGCATATCAGATGATACTTTGAAGATATTTTTAAACTATGTAGTTTGTGTCTTTTTCCTGCTAAATTATGTACAATGATTTGAATCCAAAATAGTTCTAATATGAATAACCATGTTCCATCCCACATGGGAATGTGAACAATGCTGGATGGGTAATGGGTTGCATTTGGATCATAACTAGTTCGAGTGCTCCCCCAGAAGTGTCTGACAGTGCATTTCTCTCATTTAAACTGCAAGTGTATTTTTGTGAGCTTGCTAACTGTCTCTGAATTGTAATTTGCCTTTTTTTTTTTAACTAATAAAGGTAAACCTGCTCTTTAATTTAAAGAAGCCATCAGTTACCACTTCTGGTATCCTTCAGTAACCCTTTTCTGCCTTGCTTTTGCATTTCACCTGAAGAAATGCTTCAGGCCTCTAAACGTGAATACCAAACCCCAGTATTTTTATTGGGTTTGGTTTTGTTGGGTTTTATTTTTCACTGCAGTAGAAATTATGTGGGTGGGTGTATCTTCATAATGTGCTGTTCTACTGGTTTATTAAGGTAATTTAATCAGGATTACTACATCATTTGATTCTAAATGATCTGAACTTGCAAAGACGACCTTGTCCATTCATGCTTCTCTGTGACAATTAACTCGGCCTTAAAAAGGAAACTCGGAGGAACTATGAGTGAGCCTAATAACAAATGTGAATATTCCCACTGGGAAAAGAACCCCACTTTGTCCTGTTGTTACCTATTCCTGCTGCGTTGCAGTTAACAAACAGGAAGGAGTTTTGGTAAATTCCCCCAGGAAAAAATATCTGTTAAAAGTGTAAACTCAAAGGAAGTGTGGAACTTACCCAGAATCCAGAGAAGAGTTTCAGAAAGATTAAGAAAAGGTACATCTCATTAATAGTTAAGTAGCTATTAGCATTTTTATTAGAACTAAAGCTTATCCCTAGTATCTTATGGATATGCTCCAGGGAGAAAAAAACCCTAACTTATCTCGAGTGTTTACATTATTAAATTAGCATGTCTTGATTAGTATTCCTTTCAGGTTTTCTTTTTACAGTGATTAAATGTGTTGTTTTCAGGCTGCTACTGAACCAAGTTCTGGCTATTCTAGTTTTATAGCCCTAAACTCACAATATTTGTATACTTTCCTGTAGATGCTGTAGCTATGTAATTTCCAAGACTCTTAATTGTTTTGCTTCGGCAGGTGGCTGGTGTAAGAGAGAGACCTGCTGCTCCTGACGATGTCGAGGAGAAAGCTGGAGAATAAAAGCCTTTCTGGCTTGTTGGCCACATCTCTGCACACACCAATCAAGACAGAAAACTTCTACAATTTTTATGTGCTTGAATCAAAAGAGCTAGGAAGGTAAGATTATTCCTATTTATTTTATTTGAGCAAGAGGAATTTTTGCTGCAAGAAAATTCTCTGTACAATGAAACAAACCTTTATGGTAGTAGATGGAGAATGGGCTCCTTCCCTGTCCCCTTCTTTGCATCACAGTGGGTTCTTTAGGGACCAGGAAAAGGGACAGGGAGGCATAAGCTGCCAGCCTATTCCATGTCAGAGAGATCTGGAGGGTTTTCATAGGCATGTAGATTTGGGATTATCTTCCTTTCCCTGCCACATAGATTTGGCCTAAACAAGAGATGACATAGAGTGATACTGTAAGAAAAAAATGAGGATTTTGAGTTGATGGTTCCAAGTGTTTGGGTGAGTTTTCTGAAATCCAGAAAACAAAGACCTTTTCTCTCCCCTTCCCAGCCTCAAGCAGTTAGACTGAGCTTCAAACAAGCTGCTGTTTCAGAGCACTTCTGCAGCCTGCTTCCCTTGCTCTTGTTTGCAACAGTGAAATAGGAAATAAAGCAACAAAGCACCCAAACCCTCGGTGTTTATGGCACTGTTTCAGCCATACAAGTGAATGTGTGTTTTGAAATCACTGAGTTAATTCACACCTTGAGAATACTCAGTGATTTGGGTTTAAAGCCATGCAAACGTGATGCTGTGATCATGTTTCCAAGCTCCCTGAACAGAAGTGTGCCAGGTCAGTCCCACAGCTGTGCCTTGCTGTGCTGCATAAGGATCCTTTGCACCTGCAGCTCCTTTTGTCAGCAGAGATGCTCTTCTGCATGTGGTGTGTGAGCTCCTCAGCCTTCATTGTTCTCTTGGGTTTTTTTCTGTTTTTCTAGCATGTGCTTTTTATCTGGTACACTTTTATAGAAGTGCACATTGCAGCCCATAACTTTCTTCTTTTCTTAACTTTTGTCAGCTCTGCTTTTGAATTCTAAGCTCTACAGAAGCAGTTTATATGCAGCACCCTCTAGAACTCAGGTATTGTTCCAACGCTGGATTTTCAGACTCTGCATACTTGTGAGATGATATCTAAAGCAAACAAAAGTGTAGATTTTGTATGAATTCCAGAACAGAGCTTTTAATTTTTTCTATGCATGCAAAACCAGGCCTAACAAAGTAAGTGCCAAAATGCAAAGAAAACTGAAGCACGACTCTGTTTTACAAACATATTTGTGATTTCTCCTGGCCTAACTACATGGGTATTTTTTAATGTTTTTAAATGTATAAATGCTTTTTAAGTGATGTAAAATCCATCTTTTCTTTGTAACCTCTCTAAAGGATTAATATACTTTAATTTTCACTTGCAGTTTTCTTTTTCCTGTTGAAATTATGTAGTAAATAGTTCTCTTGTTCTCTGCTTAAGCTTCCCAACCCCATTTCTTCCTCCCACACCCTTATCTGTTGGGTCCTTTGGTATTTAAGACACTGACTCACAAAGCTGGCAGGTTAGGTTCTGTTTAGTGGCTTAAGTAGTTCTGTCCCTGGTGTGTGCATGGCTTGGCTTCTTTTGAAGCAGCTAAATTTCTGTGGTTTCTGAGCTGAGATATGAAAACATCCTGAAATCAGATTTTCTTGTAGAGCTGGGCTCTGAGGGGGGATGGTTGCGCAGGCCAGGAGTGGGAACTGCTTCGCTTGCGTCAGTGCAGCACTTCCGAGCTGACTTTTTTTGTGTTTCTGGAGCAATTTCCACAGCTCTAAAAGACTTTTTTCGTCTTATTTTTTTGCCTTAATTTTTTGCCTTAATTGGCACTCTACTAATAAACAAGTGGAAATTCTTACATCTCAAATGTGGAGGCATCACGGACCCCTCAGAGTTGTTAAGCCCACAGGAACCAGAAGGAAGATGTGCCAAAACTACTGGGGAAGATCGTGCTGTTCTCATGAAACTGAACTGGTTCCCCTTTGTTAATTTCAGAGGCACTTTGGTGGCTGGCAGGGTTGATGTGATGCTAAAAAGAGAATGTGAGCTGGAGGGGGGAGTGTTTCCAACTTGTGTATATCATGAAGTTGAGCTCAGTAAGTTCATATGCTCTGCAGTAATAAGCTGGGTTAACAATTGGGAAAGCACGTGGCTGTTTCAGGCTTACAAATAGTTATTAAGGTGAAGAGTGGGCCTGTATCAGCCTCGATAACTTTTATCTCTAAAGTTTAGTGCTTTCAAAAAAGGGTTGAGAAAATCTACAACTAATTGATGTTGAAATAAATGATAACAAAAGGACTGTTTTGTTGAATTTATTTTTAAGTTGTAGCAGTATGATTCAAAGTCATGTTTAAATATTTAATAATTTAGGCATGTTTGTGCACTTATTTGCAAATGAAAATTGATTTTTTTGCATGTGATGCTCATCTCTGTTTTGATTAAATACTGAAGTCTAGATTTCTCTTTTTAAGTACTTTTTTGTTTTAAGAAATGCTCCTTTTAAGCACTGGGATTTTTGCACCAGAAAAAAGGCAAAGCCTGTGAGGCGATGTGGTATTTTCTACTGAAGAAGCTAATTTAGTTTAAGGAACACAGCTCAGATAGCTCATTCTGAGCTGTTCCATTATGATTGTCCTTAGCATGCTGTGGTAACAAAAAATACAGGTGGACAGGCTCATTTTGAAGAGATAAATGTAGGTTGTGCACTTTGTACATAGCTTGATGCTGTTTTTAGAACTTTACTTGCAGTTTATTGCAGCCTTTCGAGTTGTTTTTTTTGTAAATAAGGTTTCTTTAAATAAATATGGTTTTGGTATATAAGGTTTCTCTTTACAATTTGAAAACACTTTGTATGTATGCAACCAGGCATTTCTGGGAATGCAATATTAGTAACTATAAATTTTTTTTTCAGGAGTTTATAACTTGGCTTAAAAAACTGCAATTTTTTCCTTCTATTTTTTTCAAAGATCAGCATGGTGTTTTAACTACAGTAGGTAGTTTTCTTCTAAAAACATTTCTTTGCCAAAATATGTTTTTGTTTCCATACCTAAACAGTTGGCTAGGAAATAAAGTGACACACTTTGTCTAAATGTAATTGAGGAAGAGAATGCTAAGTGGTGGGTGCTTTTCTATTAAGATGTTTTGAAACATTTTGCAGATACCTGGGATTTTTGTATCAGTACTACATGATTTGTGGAAGGAAATTCCCTTTATTACTAATTTTTTTTCACTGAAAACCTCCTGCCCCATGCATTTAAATGTGCTTTGTTTTTCCTGTTCATTCTCTGCATTTCATAGGGGTTTGCTTTGTTTGTTACTGTCCTGTAGGTGTTTTAATGAGGTTGAGGGTTTTTTAATATCTTGCCAACCTGAACAGAGCTCTGGGCAGTCTGGTAAAACCTCATGGCCAGCCTTGCTTTAAGCAGGAGGTTTTTAGGGACCTCCAGAAGTCCTTTCCAGCCAAATTATTCTGTGACCTGGCCATTAGAATGTCCCTGTAACCTGATACTCTGATTTAATGTTTAGCTAGGCTGTATAAAGGGAATTTTCCTGGGTCTCACCAGAGCTTCATCTAGCTTAGTATCCTTCTACAGTGCCTGCAAGTGAATGTTCAGGAAACAGTATAAGAGCAGGCCAAGCATGGCATTTCCAATACGTTATTTTGCTTGTTTGCAATTATTTGCTCTGTCTTAGTTCTAATGTTAATTTATGCACTTTTGATTTCCTGCATCTCAGTCTTTTCTCTTTTATTTCGTAGAGGAAGATGTGCTGTGGTTAGAAAATGTGTAGCTAAATCCACAGGCCAAGAGTATGCAGCTAAATTTTTAAAGAAAAGGAGAAGAGGTCAAGACTGCAAAGCAGAGATTGTGCATGAAATTGCTGTCCTTGAATTAATGAAATCCAATCCTCGCATAGTTAATCTGCATGAAGTCTATGAAACAGCAAATGAAATCATCTTAGTGTTGGAATAGTAAGTATGCCTTCATCACATGTTCCATGGTTGTAGGAAAACATCTTTCAATATATTAATTTTTTGTATGAGTTGCCTGAATGCCCAGAATTGCAGCAGTACCCTATATACATTATGCTAATCTTTCATTGTAATATACTTTATATTTTTTCCTTTAAGGATGTTTCAGGCAAGCTGACTGGAAAGAATGTTCTTGAAATACTGGAGGAGGTCCTGAGTGCTTTGATGCAACTTAAATCACAAAAAAAAAAAAAAAAAAAAAAGAAAAGTTACTGATTCCAAGTACACAGATTTCAAAGAGGTTGAGCACATCCATGCCTGTGAACTTCAAGTTAGCACTTGACATTTTTTTGGTGACTGGAGACTTACAGTTACTTTGGTTTTTTTGAGCTCCTAAATTCAGTGATTTTGTTGTTTTAAAATTGACTTTTGAATAGTTTCCTAAAAAAATCCCATTTTTTTCACAGATGTCCCCAAAGCTTCTTATTAGCTCTGAAAAATAAGTTTAATTTGGGATTTGAATTTGCATTATCTATCATATTTGTTTTATATATAAATTTTTGTGTGGAATGTAAGGAACAAAAACACATCCTGTGAAATGAATTCTTTCTAAGCTTTAAGTTTCATGTACAAAGTATTTGAGGTGCTGTTAATGGTGGTCTCTGTACACCATGGTATATTCTTTGGAAACTTTGAAGGAATTTGGCTAGATTCTATCTTTGAAAGCTTTTTTTTCCCCTGGAACTAGATGACCCCTAACATATAATTTATTCTAAGGCTTTTTTTTGCAAATCTTTTCCTGCAGAGCTTTCAGCTCTTTACCCTTGTGAGTTCCCACCCATCCAGACCATAATATAACTGGAGTGCAGCAGCACTGTGGGAGCCAGTGCTGAAAACCTTGTGAGAGTTGAAATCCATGGCATCCTCTGCCCTTCCCCTCATGTCCGTGTTGCCATAAGGTCACCTGGGGGGGAGGCGTGACTGACACCTCACATAACCTCAGCAGGTTTGTGGCTGTGGTCTTTCATTTTGTCCAATACCTGACTTTTTCTAGACTCATTTTAGAGACTTTAGTAAACTTAGCAATGAGGTTTAGGCTCAGTGATCTGTAGTTTTGAGGAAGCTCTTCATCCTTGAGAGGGAGACTTGAGGCACTCGGAGCAGGCTGAGTAATGATCTCAAACCCAGCCTGAAAGGAGACAGCTGACACTGCAGCCAAGTGTAGGAATAACTCATAAACCACAGGAGCACAGATATTTCCATGCTGCTTTACACTGCTCTGAATTATTTATAACTGGTCTCATGGAAGACATTTTAGATTTGACTTGAAAAGAAAGGCGTCTTTGATTAGGGACTGGTGATATAACTCAGCTTCTGGAAGGCATCTTCCTGCTTGCTTGAGGGGAACAGAGCATTATGAGGTTATCAGTCAAAGTGCTTTTTGCTGTCTCAGCTGCTGTTTCAGGCTATAAGAAAAGAAAAAGCATGATCACATTTTTTTTCCCTTTTCTAAGTGTTTGTATTAAGTGTTTTAGTGTAAATGTGTAAAAAGAAAAATATTCCCAGCCTCTCTGATATTACAGATATATGTTAGATAAATATGTGCTATTAAAAACATTTTCCTTGCTAAAGTTTTAAAATTTAAACTTAATACATAGACATTCTTCAATGTGTTTCAGTGCTGCTGGAGGAGAAATATTTGACTTGTGTGTCCCAGATCTGGATGACAGAATTTGTGAAAGGGATATTGTAAGGCTTATAAGGCAAATACTTGAAGGACTTTGCTGCTTGCATGAAAACAATATTGTTCATCTGGATTTAAAGGTGAGGCTGCAGCAGGCTTTGTTTTAGCACTTCATCTTCAATTTATTCTGTTCATCCAAGTAATTTGTTAAATACATTAAAAATATGAGAAGGAGATGAAATGATATTAAAATAGATTAAAAGGATAGAAATTAAATATATTTAGTGTTTAGCAATAAGTATTTCATAATAGAAGCTGAAGTGTCATTTAGTACATAGGGCATTTTTTTCTGATTGTATTTTATTAATTAGGAATGCAATTTTTTTCTATTGTAGCCTCAAAATATTTTGCTGAGCAGCATCAATCCTCTTGGCGATGTAAAAATTGTGCATTTTGGGATGTCCCGGAAGCTTGAGAATTCCAATGAACTGCGGCAGATCATGGGAACCACAGAGTATCTCGGTATGGAAGGGCTGCTTCACAACCTCTCATGTGGGCTTTCCAGAGAACAGGAGCAGTTCATGGAGCACACTGAGCAACTTACAAGCTGATAAAGAACATCACAGGACAAGGCAACATGTTTGAGCTGCTCTTCTTTAAGAGTAGTCAACAAATATTTGCCCCAAAAAATCCCAAATTATATCAATCAGTGCAGCTCTCAATTTTACATTGTAGTTTTTGCTGTGTTATGGGCTGTTAAATTGTTCTGAACAGAATTGAAACATTGGCATGCACAAAGAAATGTTCTTTGAATTAATGTAACATCTTTAATGTTATTCAGTATGATGATTTAATTAGATTAAAATATTTGTTGGAAAGGAAAAGATTGCTGTTAACACTTGGCCCTCTCTGAGGGACAAGCTTCCTTTGTGATTTGCCAACACTCAATGTTAAGAACACTTCATTCTGCAGTGAATAACTTGCTACCTAGCCTGTGCTAACAGCCACTGATCCTAAAATTGGCTTGGTCATCTTGCTTTAACATGCTGAAAGCTCTATACATTCCTGTTAAAAAGCTCTATAATTCAAAACCTTTTAGGAGAAAAATGTATGTGCATGTATCTGATTAGAACACATCTTGAAACTTGGATAAACTTCAGGCCATGTAGTGCCACTTTGGTGTGAACTTAAGTAAACTTCCATTTCGAGGCAAATGGAAATAACTTTTTGCCACCTTGTGGCTTAGAAATAATAAATCTAATTATTGAAACTACATGTTGAGTCTTACAATAATGGTTGGCAAAAGAATGCCAGAAATGTAATGTATGATTCAAGGCCATTTGAATAAGATATTTATTAAAGCATTTTTCTTCTCCCCGTCTCTTTAGCTCCAGAAATTTTGAACTATGATCCTATTACCACAGCTACAGACATGTGGTAGGTTTGATCTTCATTTTACTGGGGCTTGGTGGGACCCCTTAACAATCTAAGGGCCTGATGCAGTTTCATCTGGCTTCCAAGAATCCCCTTCTGTTGGTGGGCTGGCTGAAAGAGGGAGGGGAGGATGGGAGGGGATGAAGCCCTCAGGACTTACAGGAGTTTATGGATCTGTTGCACACTTAGTGGGAAATGCAGGTGGCTTCTGATGCTGTGGAGGATAGGTGTTTGTTCTGAGGGAATAATAACAGTGGCTGGATAACATACTTGAGGTATTACTTACTCCTGGCTGACATGCTTCGGGCATTAGCTACACTAGGACACTTCCCTTCCCACTTTTACATCGTTAAAGAATCTTTGATACAAATTATAAGAAGGATGTCAACTTCCTACTTCTTATTTTTAGAGAAATATCTGCAGGAGTGAATCATAAAAAATGACAAGTACCTTGAAATGAACCACAACTTTTTGTGGTGTTTTAATTTTATGTATTATGTTAAAGACTAGCTTTGAAATGTTTCCTTTAAACAAAAAATCTTCATCTTAATTAATATTCCCTGTTAAAAGTTGCTAGTTGCTCCTTATAAATCTTTTCATGAATGCCTTTTAATCACATATTATTTGCCTGCTTTTGGGGGAAGGCCTAAGAAAACCCCTATTGATGCTGTGCTCACAATGACAAACCCAGCAGCTGCCTGTTTCCACACTGTAATGAGTACTAAATTCTGATCTATCGGATCACAAAAATGTTTCTATTATGCATCAAGAAACCACCTTAAGATTTATAATAGATGGCATGGTCTGTGGCACTCATGTTTGTTGTGATACGGCACAAAATGATGACACAGACACTGCTGCTCTCGAGGGGAACAAAAAGGAAGAAGAAGAAGAACTTTATTTTCTGCCTCCAACATTTATAGTTTTCCAAAGGTGACAGTGGATTGGAGGGGGACAGTGCCACCTCTCCAATGCCACTGGACAGACCAAGGGTCCATCAATTCTCTCCACCTCCATGAAAGAATGCAAAACATAGGTTATTTACAGAACTGTGTGTGAGAAAGTTTGTTGAAAGAATGCAAACATCAGAAGGCTTAACAAAGTCTTATAAAATCAGGGCGACACATGTTCATGTTCTTGAGAGGAACATCTCAGCTAGAAGAGATTGTAACACAACTCAGATGTCAAATGCACAGAGAAGTTGATTAAGTCTTTGCTCTGTTATCCAGAATTGCAGTGCAAGATATATGCAGATTAGAAAGTCTGTCTTTTTTGCAGCTCTATCATCCAGAATTGCCATATGTCCCAAGAGTGGGCTGGGTAAAAGTGGTATTTCCTTTTCCTAACAATCTCAGTAGGAAGAAAAGGGTCTATTGAAATGAAACAGTTTTCAAAAATCCCTTCATTGAGATATATACCTAACATATCTTTCCTTGTGTGTCTATGTGCAGTCATGTTTGAATTACATATAATTGAGGTGTAACATGTTGGCTGTAATTCTGAGAGTGGGATATGTCAGGATTTGCAGCACAGGAATATGCAGGGTATATTGTTTAGATTCTCTAGTAGGTTTGTACATTTTGTTCTCTAGTAGGTTTATACATTGTGTTCTTATCTCAGGAACATCGGTGTCATCTCATACATGCTGCTGACACAAGAATCTCCATTTGTGGGAGCTGATGTTCAAGAAACTTACCTTAATATATCTCAAGTTAATGTGGATTATTCAGAAGAAACATTTTCATCAGTTTCACAGCCTGCAAAAGACTTCATTCAAAAACTTCTCATAAAAAATCCAGAGTAAGTAGCAAACTCCTTCAGGCAAGAATCCTAAATTTGTGGAGCACCTAGAAAAAGTGAATGTTAATTTATGTGGTTAATGTCACTGATAAGAGCAGTTGGGTATTTCACAATATATTGGTATTTTCAACGGGATATTTCAAAGTGTGGTTTTATGCTTTTCCATAATGCATGAGAAGAATCTTGGATTCAATGTCTGGATAAAATGATCAGATATTGCTTTTATTATTTTCACAGATAATGTTATCATTAATCAGGGTTGCTCTTTGAGGGTTTTTTTTTTTTTTTTGTTTGAGTTTCTTTATATTTTCAGTGAGCCTCACTGTTTATGGTCTGTATAAAGCATATTACTTTAAAAGTAAAAGCAAGTGCCCATTTATGTGTGCCATGTTGAAAACATTCCCAGGGACTATGTTCCTTGTTCTGATGAAAGCTTACCAGCTTTAGGATAAACCAGCAACTAAATGTAGATGCATGTAGCCAATACTTAACTGTGTTTTGTAGCAGCTGAGGTAGGGGTGCAAACACACCAATACTGAGTCTTCAGTGTCAATTTTGCTTAGGATTTTTAGCATCAGAGCTATTTTAGTTTTTTAGTCTTGATGAAACTAACTCAAGCACCTTTCCCTTTCTCCCTGCGAAGGGACAGGCCCACTGCAGCAGACTGTCTGTCCCATTCGTGGCTGCAGCAAGAGGAGCTCACGCTCCTGTGCAGCCCTGAAGAGGTTTGCTGCTCCTCTCAGCTGCCAGGACACACAGCCAAGTGCTCAGAAGAGTGGAGTGTAAAATCCAGCTGCAGTGGGAGCTGCAGTGACAAGGAGGACAAGGAGAACATCCCAGAGGACAGCAGCACGCTCTCCAAACGCTTCCGCTTCGACGACTCATTGCAGTATCCCCAAGACTTCGTGACAGACTTTGTGTGCTAATGTAGAACACAGACTTTTCATGGAATGAGTTCAGAGTAATCTGTTCCAGTGGTGAAAAAAAGGTTCTGGCTTGCCAATTCGTGCAGCATTGGCATACTGGAAATGCACTTTGATTCTTTTATGCTGGTGCCTCCTTTTGTATCCATTGCTGGCAGTGGATTTAACTCCTGAGGAATTGGAGTTGTTGCGCCAATAAAATGAATTATTTTTTTTAAGAAGATATAATTAAATATTTTTGCACTTTTCAAGTTCTAGTCAAAAGATAATGCTAGAGTGAACAAACTGAAACCTGCAAATGAATTTAAGCATAGCCTTTGCCAAACAGTGGTTGAACACATGCATGCTTTTAGGACTACTCTTAGTAAGAGATTGGGAAGGGAAGCAGGGAAGCTGAACCTTGCTGGTTTACTGGAGTTGCTTGCTACCATTCTCACCACTTTGAATAGAGGCTAAATTTGGTATGTTTTGGGACTATGGTACATCTGTTGAGGCCATTTGGAAACCTGTTTTACCTCTAGGATCACTAGTAGTTCTGCCTTATGGATCTGTCCACTTGGGCATTATGCATATTCTGTGTGGTTATGCTGCGTTGGAACTCTGCAACACTTGGCATAGAAAACAGGTAGATTGTCAGTCCTTGTGCTTATGGTCCTTGGTTCTTACCATAAATTACATTTGAAGATGAGGTTCCTATACTGATGTGAATATTTTAACTGGGTGGTTTGCTTTGCTCAAACCTCTGAAATAGTATAATCTACCTGTACTGATTTTTCCTTATCTTAAAAAAAAACAAACAATCCCCCCAAACAAGCCCCAAAACACAAAGTCTCTAGTTAAAAGAGTAAACTGAAAATAACCATTTTTGCCAGTGAAACAGCAATTAACAGTTTTTGTCTGTGCCCTCTAATGTAAAAGTGTATCTTGCTGTCAATTAGTTGTCCATAATTACTCAGCTTCATGCCTGCTCTGAGAAATGGACTGCAGTGTGTTAGTATTTCAACAAAAACTGCCTAACAATTGTTTTAAGCCTTTAAAATTGGTTTGGTTAGTGGTATTTTTTAAAGTTCTGTGCCTTCCACTTTCACTTGTTTCTGGCTCTGAGGTAATAATGCCTGTGTCAAGTTTTGTCTTAAAGCAAATGCCAATTGTGCCTTAACAACCTGAAAGTAATACTCATAAAATAAGCCCCTTAATCATAACAGAGGCTGTGAGCCTTTTTGGGCAGTGAATTTATTAAAACTCTTAGCGATATTTTGAAAGTAAATGCCACTTTAAAATATTTCAAGATTTTCCACTCCTCAAAGCTTAAATTTAATTGTCTTTGAATTGGATATGTTTTCTGTAATAAAATACCACAATCTGATAATCTTTTTCAAGTGTGCCTGTGGATTTGTCAGTAGTTGGGCAGATTGGCATTTTGAAATATGACTGAGAGGTGAACCTGATGAGAGGTAAAAGGTTGTGTTTTGTCTTTCTTCACACAAGGAAAGAGCAGGTTTTTTCCAAACAGATTTCAGTGTAAGGCCATCAAAATGCATGGGGGGGATTCAGGACTGTTGTCTTGGTTTGGGGGGATGCTCACGTTGACAAGTGGAAAGCAGACTGAGGTGTAAGACACGTAAAGCTTTTCAGCTTGTGTTTGTCAGAAGAAGAAATTCTCCAAGACTTAATTTTATATGAAATAAAGTAACAGATTTGTTCAGCAGGGACAAAGCTCTAATAGTTGGGTGTGAGTGAGCCACACCAAGTCTCCTCTGTGTATTCATTCTCATGGAGCTTTTCTCAGTGGTACTGATTGCATATATAATTACAGAATTACCTTGCAGGTGGCAGCTGTTGGATTGTGCTCAGGTACTTTATACCCTTACTTTTCAAAGTCCTTGGCTTTTCCCAGTTGGAGTCTTACCTGACCTTTGGATTCCTTTTCTACCATTGTGGACTCCAGTTTGAACTGGGTAAGTTGAAAACACAAATTATTCCATACATATGTAGAAGTTTAAGTTCACTTAAGATAAAGAAGGAAATGCCAAAAAGCAGTGTAAATAAAGGTTAAAAAGAGTGGTTTTTAAATTGTTGTAATTTAAAATTCTGCCAAAATATTCCTGAATTGAAATTACAACTATTTTTTAGCATTTGGAAAATAGCTGATAGCATATGCCAGCACTTTATGACAAAGCTGTTATTCCTTAAGATTTTGATCACAGTATCTGATGTTTACATTTCTTACTACTTTAGAGCTAACTTATCTTTAAATAATCAAAAATTTGTTTTATCCAAAGAATTTAAGTTTTGAAGACTTTATTTGTATTTTATATATACTTAAAATATACCTTGAATCAGACTTTATTTGGATAAAGTGCATTTGATAAGTGCATTTGATTTATTTAAAAATATTATTGTGCAAATTAATTCCAATTGAATGTAAAGACTACGTGCATTGTAGGCAATGTCTGTTTTGCTTCCTCTCATATTACTGGGACTTTCCAAGTGTGAATGAATGCTGAGTAACATTTTGAGATGACTGAAGTTATACTTCTATGCAGTTCATGACCTTTTCCAATTAAAGAAAAAAATAAACTTTGCCATTTTCTCAAAACTTCCATGTGTTTGTTTATTCACAGAATCAGAGGTGGGTTGAGGTTGACTCTGCAAGTCCTGTTGTCCATGCTCCCTGCTCCAGCCATCCCATCTAGGCCTTGCTGGCCAGAATGATGTCCAGATGGCTTTGGATCTCCAAGGAAGGACTCAGTGTCCCTGGGCCACCTGCTGCAGTTCTCAGCCAGCCTCGCAGTAACAGTGTGCTCTGCTCAGATGGAAGCTCACCTGTTCCAGTGTGTGCCACTCCCCCTTGTCCTGTCACTGGGCATCCCTGACAAGAGCCTGGCTCCATCTTGGCACCCCCACTTCAGATGATGGTATGTGTTGGTAAGAGTCTCCCTGAGCTTCCTTCTGCCTAAACAATCCCTGTTGCCTCATCCTTTCCTTGTGAGAGAGGTGCTGCAGTCCCTGAATCCCTCTGTGGCCTTTAGCTGGACTCCCAGCTGTGTCTGTGTGCCTCACACTGGGCACTGCTCCTGTGTGAATAAGGGCAAGGATCACCTCTGTCACCCTGCTGCTGCAGCCCATGCCATCAGCCTGGTCTGGGCACACTGCTGGCTCCTGTTCAACTCCAGGAGCCCAGGGCCTTCTCTGCAAAGGGGCTTTTCCAGCTGCATGGCTCCAGGATGTATCAGTGTGCAGAACTCTTCCTCCACAGCCCGTTTCTCCAGCCTGCAGAGGTCCTTATGGGTGGCAGCAGGACCTGCAGGTGTATCAGCCACTCCCAGTTTTTGTCACCTGCAGCCTTGCTGAGGGCATGCTCTGCCCAGCATCATTAACCAGGATCTTCTGGGAGAGTGTCAGAGCTCTGGGCAGGCAGTGCCTGCTGCTCTCCCTTCAGCTCCTGGCAGTCATGTCACTGCAGAGGGTTGCTCAACTCTGACTTCCCCTTGCTGAACCCATGCTGACTACTGCCAGTGAATCATGAACTTAGCAGATCACTTCCTGGAACTGTTTTCCATATGTCTGGGGTTTATGTAGAAAATGTTGGTGTTCCTATTTGTAATGATCTAGTTATATCTTGCTGTACTTAATGAGGTGATACTTTTTGTATTAAGTTCTACTGCCCTTTCTGAATGGCTGTGTAAGACAAGTGCAATCTTTGTTATACATATTAACTTCCTAGGGCATTAATGGTACATTTGTTTCATTTTCAAGTAGATGGCTGAAATAAAAAACAATAAACCCCAAAACAAGTGTGCTTTAGAAAGGGAAGTGCACTCAAAAGATAGGGTTAATTCTTGGTGGCCTGGGTAGCGTGTTTCTTCCAAAGGCACATTTCATTGACAAAGCTTTTCCATTGTTTGAAATACACAAATGGGCTTTCTTTTTAGGGAAAAAAAAACAGTGTGTCCCTGTGGCTGCTTTGGGGTTGCAGCATTAAATTCAGAAAGTATCTGAATATTTACATTTCTTGCAGTGAGAGTTCTTATCAGGAATGATGCCTACTTTTTTAACACATCAAGAAAACAAACTAATTTGTTTAATGGCAGTTTGAGACAACTTGAAATTTCTGCCTTTTCAAAAATCCTAAAGGAGGAGATAATCTTTGAGAAATGCATCACAGCGGCTTTAAACTGAGAGTAGAGTTAGATTAGACAATGAGAAGAAATTCTTGAGAGTGAGGGCCATGAGGCCCCCTTGAACAGGTTGCTCAAAAAAGCTGAGGATGTCCCATCCTTGGAAGTGTTCAAGGCCAGGTTAGATAGGGCTCTGAGCAACCTGATCTAGTGGAAGGTGTTCCTGCCCGTGGCAGAGGGTTGGAACTGGCTGATGTGTAAGGTCCCTCCCAACCCAAGCCATTATTTGGTAATAACTGACTCTCTTCTTACCAGGACAGCTGTGCTTGTACTCTTGCCAAGTGAGGCAAGTTGAGTTTGAAAAAGTACTTTGTAAAATTGGGGCAGAACACGAGTGTGCTGTTACTGTGTGTGTTTCAGAAACTGCTCACCTTGGGCATTGAGAGCCTGGCAGCTGACAGGCTTGAAAATACTGCTTGGTCCACTCAGCATTGCAGAAATGAGCAAGCTCCAGAATAAATCAGAGTCTACTCTGATTTACTGCTCTCTACAGTAGAAAGTCTGCTGAATTTAATGGTAATATTATAAGGCTGAATTGCCGAGTCATCTACCAGTGAGTAATGTGCTATGAGACTAAAAGGAAACTTTTTAATAATTAAAAGCAGGTACAGGAATGATCACATAGAAGTTCTTATCTGGTATCCATGTTGTAAGAAGAAAGTTCTTCTGATAATGAAAAATACTACATGTTTAAGGGTTTTCTTTATAGTGTTTCTCATATTAGCAATCTGTTTCTTTCTTCCTCTGAAGAGTGTAAGCAGGTCTGCAGTTTCCAGTTTCCTAATCAGGCAATAAATCCCAAAATGTCACTTGCTAGCCAAAGGACTCCCATGCCCAGCAGTGGATGGCAGTGTGTGCCCAGTGTGCCACTGCTTGCTGTAGATGTAGCTCTGGTAATTGAACATAGCAGGGAGCTCCCTTTGCATGCTTTCCAGCTGGACTGGTCCCTATCATAGCCAGTACAGACCAGAGCTTGTGTAAATCTCCCTACGCTGGGTTGACTGAGGGTATTTCTCATTTCAAAATCAAAACCAGGCTTTGGTGCTGGCTTGGATTTAGAAAATGCACTGGGAATTCCAGGTGATATTGAGCCCTTCTGCAGCTGGACAAAGCAGAAATACC